TCTGTTGGTTACATTCCCACACTTGGTTATATTCCCACTCTTGGTTACATTCCCGCTCTTGGTTACATTCCCACTCTTGGTTACATTGATACTCTTGGTTACATTCCCACTCTTGGTTACATTCTCGCTCTGGGTTGCATTCTCGCTCTTGGTTACATTCGTACTCTAGGTTACATTCCCTCTGTTGGTTACATTTCCACTCTTGCTTACATTCCCACTCTTGGTTATATTCCCACCCTTCCTTACATTCCCACTCTTGGTTACATTCCCACTCTTGGTTACATTCTCACTCTTGGTTACATTCCCACTCTTGGTTACATTCCCACTCTTGGTTACATTCCAATCTTGATGACATTCGTGCTCTTGGTTACAATCCTACTCTTGGATATATATCCACTCTTCCTTACATTCCCAATCTTGGTTACATTCCCACTCGTTACATTCTCGCTCTGGGTTACATTCGTACTCTAGGTTACATTCCCTCTGTTGGTTACATTCCCTCTGTTGGTTACATTCCCACTCTTGGTTACATTCCCACTCTTGGTTACATTCCCACTCTTGGTTACATTCCAATCTTGAATACATTCCCAATCTTGGTTATATTCCCCCACTTGGTTATGTTCCCACTCTTGGTTACATTCCCACTCTTGGTTACATTCCTACTCTTAGTTACATTCACTCTCTTGGTTACATTCCCACTCTTGGTTGCATTCCCGATTTTGTATCGCCTCTTGCAGCGTTCATTCTAGTCTGTCTCAGTCCCTGTACCACATTATTTTCCCTACTGCCAAGCCCTCTCTGCAGTGCTAAAGCCCTAAATCAAGCAAGTCTAGATTTCCTCTGAATCTCTGGTCTCCCTAGGGCTCCTTTTCAATTTAAATAGGCTTGTTTGTTACTATCAAAATTATATATATTCAGAGACTAAGCATTAGTCTACGTTCATTCAGATGTCTGCATGTTGTCCGCTTCTGTTTGCTATAGATCCCTACTGCCCGGTCGTCGGGTACTCCAGTGCAGTTCGCCAAACTATGCCCCTATCTAGGAGAATCTTGATCTTGTAATATAACTGTCAGCAGGTCCCGCGTGTTCAAAGCAACCTGGACGGTCAGCAGACATTCCCGATTCCCGCCACGGAGCTTGTAACGAGACAGTATCGTGTAGCCAGCATCGAAGCGGGTTTAGAAACAACCATCTAAACATCATACTCGGGAAATCTGTGTAACAGCAGCATTACACAGACGTAATACCTTCCTAGGGGCACTAGTAGCTACTTGGTGTGTCACAAGGCGGGGCATTGGCAGCGACAGCAGACATCCAACCTGCTCATGGGTGCCACCCAGTGGGCTATCAAACTGGTGAAAGTTAAACATAAGCTTTCCAGAAGAACGAAATGTGTAATTCCAACCAAAGTCTAGCTCACAGACACTAAAGAATATATTTATAATGTCTAGAACGATTTGGTCGGTCTAGATTGCCCTTTCTTAAACATAAATCATTGTGATTGTTTAAAAACGATAGCTATATTTGTGGGACTAAATGTCAGACAACTCCACCCCCAAATAACTCGCATAACGTACTGAACATACTGACGTTTCACCACGCTGACTGGAAGCATAAACGAGCCGTTAAACCGGCATCCAAGAAACACACCGGGGACTCACTTAGGAAGCCGCGGTGCAAATAGAACCCCAAGAATATTGGAAGCTAGATTAGAACAGGCAAAATGATATAGATGAAACTTATGATCATCCCTTAAAAACACCGGGTAAAATACTTCTGTGATCAATCTCTACTTGAACATTTAGAGAACTGTACATGAAATGTTCACAGCTATAGACCTTCCTGAGACAGTCCAGGTCGTATCCACTGAACAACATCAGACCCGACATCTAGAGAAATTTGGATAGAACTACGGAATTTAAGCATATCTAAAAGAACCCCAATATTACAACGTCGCAAAGCGGTTATGAGGCTCACACTCAGGGGTCAAATAAAGAGAGGAAGAGCATGTTCCTGTGAAACCATGGAATCAGAAGGTGAAGGACACTGATGCCACTTTATAAAAAACTACAACTGGAACTACTGTCATCACCAGCCTCAGCTATGTATCCGATAACACGGGGAATACTTCCAAATCTACCACCGCCTTTTTTCAAATTACTGCTCCTCTGTCGTTTACAATGTTCTCGCACTTAGAAGATTTATAATCTGATCAGCATGGACATGTTGACTGATGCACTATGCCAGACTGTGGGTGTTGACACCACGCAAATATATATGCGGTGGGAGAGCCAAGACTGGGGGGTTGACACCACGCATATATGTGGTGGAAGAGCCAAGACTGGGGGGTTGACACAACGCATATATGAGGTGGAAGAGCCAGACTGTGGGGTTGACACCACGCATATATGCGGTGGAAGAGCCAGACTGTAGGTGTTGACACCACGCATATATGTGGTGGAAGAGCCAAGACTGTGGGGTTGACACCACGCATATATGTGGTGGAAGAGCCGAGACTGGGGGGTTGACACCACGCATATACTAGTATGTGGTGGAAGAGCCAGACTGTGGGTGTTGACACCACGCATATACTAGTATGTGGTGGAAGAGCCAGACTGTGGGTGTTGACACCACGCATATACTACTGACACCGCATATACTCAGTATGTGGTGGAAGAGCCAGACTGTGGATGTTGACACCACGCATATACTAGTATGTGGTGGAAGAGCCAGACTGTGGGTGTTGACACCACGCATATACTAGTATGTGGTGGAAGAGCCAGACTGTGGATGTTGACACCACGCATATACTAGTATGTGGTGGAAGAGCCAGACTGTGGGTGTTGACACCACGCATATACTAGTATGTGGTGGAAGAGCCAGACTGTGGATGTTGACACCACGCATATACTAGTATGTGGTGGAAGAGCCAGACTGTGGGTGTTGACACCACGCATATACATAGTATGTGGATGGAAGAGCCAGACTGTGGATGTTGACACCACGCATATGGTGGAAGAGCCAGACTGTGGGTGTTGACACCACGCATATACTAGTATGTGGTGGAAGAGCCAGACTGTGGATGTTGACACCACGCATATACTAGTATGTGGTGGAAGAGCCAGACTGTAGGTGTTGACACCACGCATACAGTTGTATACTAGTATGTGGTGGAAGAGCCGAGACTGGGGGGTTGACACCACGCATATACTAGTATGTGGTGGAAGAGCCAGACTGTGGGTGTTGACACCACGCATATACTAGTATGTGGTGGAAGAGCCAGACTGTGGGTGTTGACACCACGCATATACCAGTATGTGGTGGAAGAGCCAGACTGTGGGTGTTGACACCACGCATATACCAGTATGTGGTGGAAGAGCCAGACTGTAGGTGTTGACACCACGCATATACCAGTATGTGGTGGAAGAGCCAGACTGTAGGTGTTGACACCACGCATATACCAGTATGTGGTGGAAGAGCCAGACTGTGGGTGTTGACACCGCATATACCAGTATGTGGTGGAAGAGCCAGACTGTGGGTGTTGACACCACGCATATACTAGTATGTGGTGGAAGAGCCGAGACTGGGGGGTTGACACCACGCATATACCTAGTATGTGGTGGAAGAGCCAGACTGTGGGTGTTGACACCACGCATATACCAGTATGTGGTGGAAGAGCCAGACTGGGGGTTGATTGACACCACGCATATACTAGTATGTGGTGGAAGAGCCGAGACTGGGTGTTGACACCACGCATATACCAGTATGTGGTGGAAGAGCCAGACTGTGGATGTTAACACCACGCATATACTGAAGTATGTGGTGGAAGAGCCGAGACTGGGGGGTTGACACCACGCATATACTAGTATGTGGTGGAAGAGCCAGACTGTGGGTGTTGACACCACGCATATACTAGTATGTGGTGGAAGAGCCAGACTGTGGGTGTTGACACCACGCATATACTAGTATGTGGTGGAAGAGCCAGACTGTGGGTGTTGACACCACGCATATACTAGTATGTGGTGGAAGAGCCAGACTGTGGGTGTTGACACCACGCATATACTAGTATGTGGTGGAAGAGCCAGACTGTGGGTGTTGACACCACGCATATACTAGTATGTGGTGGAAGAGCCAGACTGTGGGTGTTGACACCACGCATATACTAGTATGTGGTGGAAGAGCCAGACTGTGGGTGTTGACACCACGCATATACTAGTATGTGGTGGAAGAGCCAGACTGTGGGTGTTGACACCACGCATATACTAGTATGTGGTGGAAGAGCCAGACTGTGGTGTTGACACCACGCATATACTAGTATGTGGTGGAAGAGCCAGACTGTGGGTGTTGACACCACGCATATACCAGTATGTGGTGGAAGAGCCAAGACTGGGGGGTTGACACCACGCATATACCAGTATGTGGTGGAAGAGCCAGACTGTAGGTGTTGACACCACGCATATATGTGGTGGAAGAGCCAAGACTGGGATACTGACTACATAGACGTTTCATAGTGGGCGGTTGAAGAAACAGGAAGAATAAGTGTATACTTATGTGCTCTTTATGTTTACCCAGTAACTGGCATTTGGTCATACGTTTTCGAGATAATAAACATCTGTGTCGTTATTACGGTTGATCAAGTTTAGTCTGAATGATTTAATTCTGTTTGTTTCATAAAAACTTGAATGTCTCTGAAGAGCAGTAACGATACATCGAAGTATCGATACATCAGAACGGATACAGGGGTATTTTTAAGTCGTATTTCATTCCAAACAGACCTTGATTGTATGTTCAGACACTAGGAACAGGTGTTGAGATGTGAAAATGAACTGTGAAAACAATTTTCTCTACGTGTTTCAAGTCATTATTTGTTTAAGCCTCCCATGGGCTGCTTGAAGTATCGCATCCCTACAGGTAACGACGCGAGAAAGTCATCCCCAGGTGCATGTCAAATGTATATGTACCCATTTATGAGTGTCAATTCTCGTGTTTCATTGCTTCAGGGCCCCCAAGGACCGCCTGGCCCCCCAGGACGTAGGAGGTGGCGGACCCCCCGCGGCCCCCCAGGGCCTCCGGTAAGTAACCAGCTTTCCTTCATTTGTTGACGTCAAAGTGCAACAGAGCAATATGCATTAAATCTACATTCAGGAGTTTGAGTTAGAAACAGCGGGAATTGCATATAATATACAATATGTTAAGAAATCAAGATTATAACTAAACACAAAGGCAAACTGCAACAGTGGCAGCATGTGGGAAGTGAAACTGATTGTGTTGTACATTCTTCTGCAGCAGGATTAAATAGTGTGCCAAGCCGACACATCGCTGAAATATTTCTGTCGTGACAGGTGAAAAAAAGCATGAATATGTAAATAGGGATGAACAAAACACCTAACTTTTTAAGAACTATTAGAACTGTTGTGTCTGCAAATGTGCGCGATGGGGACTAACATTAGGGGTGAAGAACGTATCCCCCGTGCACGCGAGGGGCATCTGTTGTAGCGTTCCGCCCCGACACTGGACTGGCCCCACGGTATAGCACCGTGGGATGGGTAAGCCAGCTGCACACACAGGCCGGCAGACAGCAGGTGAAGAAAGAGTTCGGCTGGCTGTGGCGTGGCACTTGGGCATTAGTCGTTAGGTAATATGTTTAATACTGGTATGTTGAGCTGGGCCCCTGATGGTCTCCGGCCAGGGGGTAGTGAACTGAAGGGCGTGGCAAGGCCTACGAACGAATTTTCAGATTCCATCCCCTCGCCATGGGAGTTATGATTGCTGTTAAGTTGAAATTCAAAATCTTTGCCATGACTGGCAAGTGAAAGTGTCCTAAGAACACAAGTAGCTTAAATTCCCTAATCAGCTTTTAATAGACCTAGTGCGCCATCTGGTCACGCATCGCAGGCGGAAATGGCGGGGATTGGTGGTTATTAATACCGTCTTGCAATTAACGTTTGAAGCACGCTATAGTGTTCCTTCAGAAACGTCGACGTCGTGTTGTCCGCGGGGACAAGGGCTCTCCAGCACAGCATTCTCCACATCGTGACCCTTTTGCACGCTCAATTGTCATATCGATCTACATGATCTTGTCAAGGGGAATCCCCCCTACAAAATCGTATCACTGGGATATTCCACGATAAGATTTTATCATGAGGATCTCCTACTACCGGATCTTGTCATGGGGATCTCCTACTACCGGATCTTGTCATGGGGATCTCCCACTACAGGATCTTGTCACGGGGGTCTCCCACTACAGGATTGGTAACCGATTGTAGATATATTCATGTAAAGTTTATGAGAGACCTCAGTATGTCAGTCACACAGTAAACAGTATGAGAGACCTCAGTATGTCAGTCACACAGTAAACAGCATGAGAGACCTCAGTATGTCAGTCGCACAGTAAACAGTATGCGTGAAGCCATGTGTAGAGTTCGGTGTGTGTGGACACATCGTCACAGATTGATGACCCTATGTATGGACGGTGCCACCCTGCTCTATACATATACCGTGTACCGTTGTCGGGATGTCCACGACACAGTTCTCTTTGATACCCGGTATCTAGATGGTTTATCAACAGGTACAGAAGTAGCCTCGCTCCACGTAATCAACACTGATCAAACGGGGCCTAACAACATTTTCGTACGCCTGCATATTGCCGCTTAATTAAATAATCAAACAAACCAGCGTTCTTCTACTGATTTACCGTTTCAGTTAAGCAAGTCTAATTTTTCTCTCCACAAAAATAAATGTTTAACCATTCACAGACGGGCGCGTATTAAATATCGGCTGATCTACTGCAAGGCACACTCGGCGACCTGCACTCTGAACCAAACCATACTGAGACGTTAACCATGTGAAACCTAACGCTTCTCTTTCATATTGCTTAGGTACATTTTCCACAAACTGCTGTATACTGTAAAAATGTCATAGGTAAAATTGCCACCTGTCGTATTGCCACACAGTTCTACACTACCTAACGACATGATCCACACAAGTCTAAACACAGGTGTTCTGCGTAGCTCTGCACCGTTACAATACAAGTGTTGTGCGAAGTTACCATACCATACACTATGATGTTGCACTATATAACATATGTTACAGTGTACCACACTGTCTGTTCTAAACGATGTCGATATACTTAGATGTTATGACACTTTGCAAGCCTTTGTTGTTCTACATTGTTGTGCGTTGTTTCAGGGTAATCCTGGACCTCCTGGCGAGAAAGGTAACACGGTAAGTTAAGACGTGACTGGGGTGGTTCCACCATCGGTAGGGAATCTCCGTACATCCATCTACTCCATAACACCAACGATACTCCTAAGCACCCCGTTAAGGGTCGTACGAAGTGACTACACTGGATCGATGTAGCTGAAACATTGCTGAATTATAGTATGTAAGTGAGGTGGGAGCTGACATGCTGATAATGATATACTTGGATATTTCGCCAACCGGTGGTGTCCTTTTGGCTTCTTGGTTAATTAGCCGGTTGTTGGCCTACCATTCACCCTCTATACCCCCAGTACAGGCCAAAATCCACCCTCTATACCCCCAGTAAAGGCCTACCATCCACCCTCTATACCCCCAGTACAGGTCTGTCTCCACCCTCTATACCCCCAGTAAAGGCCTACCATCCACCCTCTATACCCCCAGTACAGGTCTGTCTCCACCCTCTATACCCCCAGTACAGGTCTGTCTCCACCCTCTATACCCCCAGTAAAGGCCTACCATCCACCCTCTATACCCCCAGTCCAGGTCTGTCTCCACCCTCTATACCCCCAGTAAAGGCCTACCATCCACCCTCTATACCCCCAGTCCACCCTCTATAGGTCTGTCCATCCACCCCATACCCCCCAGCCTACCTACCCTCTATACCCCCAGTACCCCCAGTACAGGCCTACCATCCACTCCCCTCTATACCCCCAGTCCAGGTCTGTCTCCACCCTCTATACCCCCAGTAAAGGCCTACCATCCACCCTCTACCCCCAGTCCAGGTCTGTCTCCACCCTCTATACCCCCCAGCAAAGGCCTACCATCCACCCTCTATACCCCCAGTCCCTTACCATCCATCCACCCCTCTATCCACCCCCTGTCCAGGTCTGTCTCCACCCTCTATACCCCCAGTAAAGGCCTCACCATCCACCTCCTCTCCACCCCAGTCCAGGTCTGTCTCCACCCTCAGTACCCCCACCCAGTACAGTCCCTACCATCCACCCTCTATACCCCCAGTAAAGTCCAGGTCTGTCTACCCTCTATGCCCCCAGTAAAGGTCTGTTTCCTACCATCCAGGCCTACCATCCATCCCTCTATACCCCCAGTCCAGGTCCTGTCTCCCACTATACCCCCTGCCACCATCCGTCCAGGTCTGTACCCATCCACCCTGTCTCCACCCACCTATCCCCCCAGTCCAGGTCTGTCTCCACCCTCTATACCCCAGTCTATGTCTACCACCGTCCAGGTCTGTGCCCCAGGCCTCCAGTAGTTCCATCCACCCTCCTATACCCCCAGTCCAGGGTTACCATCCACCCTCTTATACCCCCGTCCAGGTCTGTCTCCACCCTCTATACCCCCAGTAAAGGCCTACCATCCACCCTCTATACCCCAGTCCAGGTCTGTCTCCACCCTCTATACCCCCAGTACAGGTCTGTCTCCACCCCCACCCTCTATCCACCCTCTATACCTCCAGTCCAGGTCTGTCTCCACCCTCTATACCCCCAGTACAGGTCTGTCTCCACCCTCTATACCCCCAGTACAGGTCTGTCTCCACCCTCTATACCCCCAGTACAGGTCTGTCTCCACCCTCTATACCCCCAGTACAGGTCTGTCTCCACTATATGTTCTCGTTCTGCAGGCCCATCCCCCATCCTCTGTACCCTCAAAGACAGAGCACTGCCTCCCAATGGTACTGTAGCACATCCCCGCGTGCCCAGGTGGCCCTCGCCAGCCCCTCTCCTTCACAATATACCCCGAAACCCTTATCATATGTGTCCTCATGTTCCGGGATTAACCTGAATACGTTTTGTTCAACTGACCAGATTGATCTCGAAGAGCTCCAGGTACGTAATGGAAGCATGGTTACCTAAAGCCAAATTCGAATTTCTTTTGATTTTTGTTAAACGACTCTTCTATATTCCTAACATCCTAATGACTTTCCGATAGTCCACCAAGATAACAGTCCCATTGTTACATTGGTTTGTCACTAAGTCTATCCACGCACCTAACCCACTCTCTCGCGATGTACCTGTGTTCACTGGACTAACGTGTGGCGTAGATCTAACTCGACTACATTCTTGGTATGAAGCTCCAGAAGATTCATCATTAACAGACACTCGATAACTTGACCTGACTGGTGTGTGACAGGTTATACCGCCCTACAGATTCCTAAAGACTTCATCTGACATCTATGTGTCGAAGCATGGTAGCATGTATTGTGGTGTTACTCATAACAAAGTTGCCGAGCGTCGTGTAGTCAATACTTATGGCCACAAACACAATTCACAAACGTTTGCAACAGGCAGTTGTTTCCCCAAGGCCACATCAAAAACATTGTTGTTTCTCGTTACAGGGCGACCGTACGAAATACACCACGATTGTCTTTGTCGTTTTACTTCTGTCTCTCATGTTGTCATATGCTGAATTCTCTTCGGCTTCAGCAATTTCATGTTTTGGTATAATTTAAGATTTAGGTCTGAGTGTTTGTTATCCAAGACAATAATAGACTGTATGTTTTAATGTGGCCTGTTATTGCTCTCTACATTGAAAATAACTTGTTAAACCGTTGTACGTTTTATAAATGTCAATCCCCATTCGGTAAATTCTATATCTTATCCCACTAGGGTCCATACCTGCGAGATATCAGGCAACTGGGGTAGATTTTTCCAATTTGTCTTTTGACTAAGGTCGATAACTCCCTTATCACTGGATTAGGGTATATATCATCTGACTAGGATAGATAACTCCCTTATCATTGGATTAGGGTATATATCATCCGACTAGGGTAGTTATTTCCCTTATCATTGGATTAGGGTATATATCATCCGACTAGGGTAGTTAACTCCCTTATCATTGGATTAGGGTATATATCATCCGACTAGGGTAGTTAACTCCCTTATCATTGGATTAGGGTATATATCATCCGACTAGGGTAGTTAACTCCCTTATCATTGGATTAGGGTATATATCATCCGACTAGGGTAGTTAACTCCCTTATCATTGGATTAGGGTATATATCATCTGACTAGGATAGATAACTCGTGTACATCTTCCGACTTGGATTGATAAATATTTCCACAAATAATATCTGATTCTCGTACTAAGGTTTTACGCCTGTAGGGATCTCTGGTTAGAAAAGATTCCCGGTACGTCATAATTGTCGTGGAAACCGACTTCATTTATATCTGGTGGTCGACCTTTGCTACTTGTCGGACGGACGTGTCATCGTACCCCAGTGGATCGTTGTTCGTGCTGTCAGTCACTGGCTGGCTGGCTGGTCTAGACTCGATGTCATTACCATCATCGGTAGCACAGGTGTAATATTGTCGCTTATTGTCGCGATTATATATTTATATTTTCTTAGAATGTTTCAAGTAAAGATTTACATAAATGTGTCTATTGTATGCATTTCAATTTGACATTCTACTTGAAATGATTTCTCGCCCCCAGGGCTATGTGGCGAACGGATTCACTGGTGGGGGAGGAACCGGCCCCCCGGGACCATCGGTGAGTATACCACTGTTTTGCCATGGGTTACCTCAACAATGGTTGTGTCGACGTGAAGACACGAGAGTGAAACTGTGCGATATAGTGGCACGAGGATGACGTCATACCAGGGATGTATGTCAATGATACACCAGTTAAACCTGAACTGTTATAATGTTACGAAATGTCCATCCACGCCTCTGATAATCTGACACAAACAGTTGGACGCAGAGAATGAATTGCGTTCATGTGTACAATACACCAGTATAACACAAGTTCCGGGTACCATACACCAGTATAACACAAGTTCTGGGTACCATACACCAGTATAACACAAGTTCCGTATACCATACACAAGTATAACACAAGTTCCGTATACCATACACCAGTATAACACAAGTTCCGGGTACCATACACCAGTATAACACAAGTTCTGGGTACCATACATCAGTATAACACAAGTTCTGGGTACCATACATCAGTATAACACAAGTTCTGGGTACCATACATCAGTATAACACAAGTTCTGGTTACCATACATCAGTATAACACAAGTTCTGGGTGCCATACACCAGTATTACACAAGTTCCGGGTACCATACACCAGTATAACACAAGTTCGGGGTACCATACACCAGTATAACACAAGATCCGGGTACCATACATCAGTATAACACAAGTTCCGGGTACCATACACCAGTATTACACAAGTATCGTATACCATACACCAGTATAACACAAGTTTCGGGTACCATACACCAGTGTAACACAAGTTCTCATGTACGTACTAGTTACCTAGTAACCCTATTCAGAAATATTTCAGACTTATAGTTAGATAAGATAAGATATTTTATTGCGCAAACGTTCCATGCAGAAACAGTGACAATATTCTATGAACTACATAAACAAGATGTTTCAATTCCTTAATCAAGCAGTAAGCCTGAGCTTCTTAATGAAACAGTCCGAGACAACAACTACTAGAGGGCAGCAATTCAAAAGCGTTAAAACCATTAGAAGTTATACATAGCCATATCTTCTAGACATATCAAGTATGTACATGTGTTGCCTTGCTCCAAGTGCCACCTGTCGCCGGTTTATGGGGAACCCGACCCACTGAATGAGAGAAATCCACACCACAACATTCTTTGAACCACGCTGTTGGTTTGCTGACTTGGCACTTTTTGGTGGTAATCGTCTTTACAGAGGTTTAACGTCAGATCTCTTTGAGCGGTATTAGACACACCCTAATTCCAATACATTATTTATGAGACACGTGGACTCCCTCTTTTGTGTCACCTAAAGCAGGCGGAGATTACAAACTTTTAATTATACCAATATACAACATATTTTCCATCTTAGCGGTTGATACGTTTGTGCTGCATGTGTTTTTACGTTGTATATTCTGTATTGCGGGAAGGTGGTTCAACCCTCCAGTCAGCCAGAGAGAATGACATAATGACGTTAACGTATGACATGTCTAGCAAAGAAAAGTTGACCCCTGTCTTTGCGGTATTTGGTTTGTCTCGCTGTGAAATGTGTTGGTGCTAGATTAAATAAACATGTTAATGTGTTAGGGACAAATACCTATCGTTAAAAACTGAACTGGATGTTTCTTGGGATGTATGATAAGGACATGTATTTAAACACTTTCCTCTGTACTGACAGGGACCTTCTGGACCTCCTGGATCCGTCGGAATGGTAAGTATGCCCGTGGCGTGTAGGTCATTAGGTCCAAAGGTCATCTCGACCTGCTGAGGGAGGAATCGATGGATTCACTAGTTTCACTTATCCGCAAGAATATACTGCTGAGCAACACGATCTGGTGGTAGTAAAGACCCTTATACAATTTTTTACTAATTTCTACAAATCATGACAAAGTACTTTTTCAAAATCGACCGTGGTGTTGTACTAACTCTATTCTTTGATCGGTTATTCGGTTTACACTGAAAATAATATAGGACTACGATTGAATCTGAATGTGCCCGGATGAACCCGGCAAGCATACCCGGTTGTAATTTTGGAAAGCCATGGAATTACCAAGCGGGTGCGGCTCGAGGGCTGGATTGGATCAGGAAACCATTAAGATGCATGTGTCACCTGATACTCAACATTATTCTTTACATTTAAACAAATATATTGGAATACTTGTATAAACACGTCTACTAAGTGCGAATATGTGTAGCCTCCACACTATCTGTGCGTGCGTGCCTGGGTCGCACCTCTTTGTCTGCCAGCGCTGGATTTGTGTGTCAAATTAGAAAGTGCACAGCAGACATATATGTCACGTGATGTTGAACTCTGGGAATGGGGAACTAAGTTAATTATTTCCGACAGAATTCAGCGTTTATATTTTCTGCGAGACACAGGCTGGAAACTACGTGCAGATATTTTACTGTGAGAAATGAGTGTTCGGTTGCTGCAGGGAAACAGCGGCGTGCTCGACGTCCAACACACCGGAATCTGATTCTCGCTTAGTCTGCAGATTTCTGTCCCCACCAAAATCATTTATCTGATTTGACTTAGAACTAGAAGTGCTAACGGTGCTGTGTTCAAATATATCACAAATCAAACGATGGCCCCGCTATGTTACAAGAATATCTTGATAAGGAAGGGATTTTAGAAGAGGGGATTTTATCAGCTTACCGTCCTTGCATGAATGTTCTATGGACTGGCGTAACCCACCCCACCCCCTGTTTTTACTGCGAGAACTCGAGCGGGAGCGTCCCACCTGCTGGCTTCTATCAACGTTGTGAATGAGAGCCATGACCCACTTAAGGCACCCACCGGATCTTGTCTGTGGGATTGCCACCATGGAGCACAAGATGATAACATTAAGAAGTCAGAAACCATTTATCATGTGTTTCTTGGATCTCATTAATATATAACAAAATGTAAGGTAAACAATTATCAATTGATATTCATAAAGTGGTCAAGACCTGGCTCTGTAAAATGGCAAACATATGGTATGAACCTGGTCTGTACATACCCAGACTATGTGGCATATACGTATTGATTACCACGCTTTCTGAAGAGAATCTCTAGGCTCCTTCTTATAATATTCTATATGTTCAAACCTGTGTGGCACACATCAGGCCATCCTTAAAAACATGTAACGTGGTTGACAACAGGGATGGAGTAAACTCAGTCGATATATTCTCCATTATCCCACAGCCCGGTGAACGCGGCGCCCAAGGAGAGAGAGGTCCCCAGGGAGCGCAGGGACAGTCTGGGGTTCCAGGTTTGTCCGGACCCCCGGGACCCCCAGGGCCAAGAGGACTTCGAGGACAGTCAGGAATGCCGGGAATGCCGGGACTTCCGGTAAGGGAGATCACTCACTCGTTTGCTTGGCATCGTGGATTGCATGAAACAGTAGGCAACAGGGTGTACATTATATGGAGCTTTGTGTCCATGTGTGTGTCGCCCGTAAGGATAACACTTCATGTCATTTTTAACTAAACGTGCACTATCGTAGCCATGTATCAACGTCATCAGGAAATATGCACACATGAAGATCCGGGTTAGAAGACCTATGTTTGTCGTAAGAGGCGACTAACAGGATGACACATGTCATCGTATCCCAATTGCGTAGATCGATGCTCATACTGTTGATCACTGGATTTTCTGGTCCATGCTCGATTATTTACAGACCATCCACCTTTTAGCTGGAATATTGCTGAGTATGGACGTAAACAACAAACAAACAGAAACTATGTCGAGTTTGGGAGAAACCTGATCAAGGAGCTATGTGTGAGAAGTATACTAGTTTACTGAGCTTTCCTTTCCCCACTTGTGGCATGGGTTGTCTCCGAGTTGTCATGTGGAACTTTGAATCCTGCAGGGCCGCAGTATATCTGAGACGGAGATGCGGGAACTATGCAGCATGGTACTGAGAGGCGAGTATTACCTGTCTAGCCATCATACAACGCTAGCGTGATCACATGTTGAGGGATGAGCATTCTTCGTATTTAGTAAAACGGCGTTGATATGGTCAGTATACACCGAGTTGATATGGTCAGTATACATTTAGCTGATATGGTCAGTATACACCGAGTTGATATGGTCAGTATATGGTCAGTATACATGTAGTTGATATGGTCAGTATACATCTAGCTGATATGGTCAGTATACATCTAGTTGATATGGTCAGTATACATCTAGTTGATATGGTCAGTATACATCTAGTTGATATGGTCAGTATACACCGAGTTGATATGGTCAGTATACATCAAGTTGATATGGTCAGTATACATCTAGTTGATATGGTCAGTATACATGTAGTTGATATGGTCAGTATACATCTAGTTGATATGGTCAGTATACATCTAGTTGATATGGTCAGTATACACCGAGTTGATATGGTCAGTATACATCTAGTTGATATGGTCAGTATACATCTAGTTGATATGGTCAGTATACATCTAGTTGATATGGTCAGTATACACCGAGTTGATATGGTCAGTATACATCTAGTTGATATGGTCAGTATACATCTAGTTGATATGGTCAGTATACATCTAGTTGATATGGTCAGTATACATGTAGTTGATATGGTCAGGTATACATCTAGTTGATGTCAGTATGGTCAGTATATGGTCAGTATACATCTAGTTGATATGGTCAGTATACATCTAGTTGATATGGTCAGTATACATCTAGTTGATATGGTCACTATACACCGAGTTGATATGGTCAGTATACATGTAGTTGATATGGTTAGTATTCATCTAGTTGATATGGTCAGTATACATCTAGTTGATATGGTCAGTATACATCTAGTTGATATGGTCAGTATACACCGAGTTGATATGGTCAGTATATGGTCAGTATACATGTAGTTGATATGGTCAGTATACATCTAGTTGATATGGTCAGTATACATCTAGTTGATATGGTCAGTATACATCTAGTTGATATGGTCAGTATACATGTAGTTGATATGGTCAGTATACATCTAGCTGATATGGTCAGTATATGGTCAGTATACATCTAGTTGATATGGTCAGTATACACCTAGTTGATATGGTCAGTATACACCTAGTTGATATGGTCAGTATACATGTAGTTGATATGGTCAGTATACATCTACTGTAGTTGATATGGTCAGTATACATCTAGTTGATATGGTCAGTATACATCTAGTTGATATGGTCAGTATACATCTAGTTGATATGGTCAGTATACATGTAGTTGATAAGGTCAGTATACATCTAGTTGATATGGTCAGTATACATCTAGTTGAGTTGGTGGTCAGCAGATAAGTGTGTGACACTGCCACAGAAATTGTTTAATGATCTGCAGACTGTAGCGCCACCATGATATAGAAACTTTCAGGCTGGATTCTGTAGCTCACGGGATGACACAACACATTTTCCTGGCAATAGCAACGTGTTTTGTTGTAGACCAACTAGAAGATCTGATTGCCGACCTTAGAGGCCCACCAGGTCTACCAGGAATAGGGAAGAAGGGACGCCCAGGACCACCAGGACCCTATGGACAACAGGGTATGCTAGTACACATTTAGGAGGACAACAGGGTATGCTAGTACACATTTAGGAGGACAAAAGGGTATGCTAGTACACATTTAGGAGGACAACAGGGTATGCTAGTACACATTTAGGAGGACAACAGGGTATGCTAGTACACATTTAGGAGGACAACAGGGTATGCTAGTACAAATTTAGGAGGACAACAGGGTATGCTAGTACACATTTAGGAGGACAACAGGGTATGCTAGTACACATTTAGGAGGACAACAGGGTATGCTAGTACACATTTAGGAGGACAACAGGGTATGCTAGTACACATTTAGGAGGACACCAGGGTATGCTAGTACACATTTAGGTACACTTCATCTAGAATGCCTATCGGAAACCTGGGTAACACTAGGTAACGGCAGACTGAGATCTGTTTGAGTGTTATCTGACGGTATGTTAGTAGTCACTAATATAAGGAACAACAGGGTAGGTTAGTGGTCACTGAGGATCAACAGGGTAGGTTAATGGTCACTGAGGAACAACAGGGTAGGTTAATGGTCACTAAGGAACAACAGGGTAGGTTAATGGTCACTAAGGAACAACAGGGTATGTTAGTGGTCATTAAGGAACAACAGGGTATGTTAGTGGCCACTAAGGAACAACAGGGTAGGTTAATGGTCACTGAGGAACAACAGGGTATGTTAGTGGCCACTAAGGAACAACAGGGTAGGTTAATGGTCACTGAGGAACAACAGGGTATGTTAGTGGTCACTAAGGAACAACAGGGTATGTTAGTGGTCACTAAGGAACAACAGGGTAGGTTAGTGGTCACTGAGGATCAACAGGGTAGGTTAATGGTCACTGAGGAACAACAGGGTAGGTTAATGGTCACTAAGGAACAACAGGGTAGGTTAATGGTCACTAAGGAACAACAGGGTATGTTAGTGGTCATTAAGGAACAACAGGGTATGTTAGTGGCCACTAAGGAACAACAGGGTAGGTTAATGGTCACTGAGGAACAACAGGGTATGTTAGTGGCCACTAAGGAACAACAGGGTAGGTTAATGGTCACTAAGGAACAACAGGGTAGGTTAATGGTCACTAAGGAACAACAGGGTAGGTTAATGGTCACTAAGGAGCAACAGGGTAGGTTAATGGTCACTAAGGAGCAACAGGGTAGGTTAATGGTCATTAAGGAACAACAGGGTATGTAAGTGGCCACTAAGGAACAACAGGGTAGGTTAATGGTCACTAAGGAACAACAGGGTAGGTTAATGGTCACTGAGGAACAACAGGGTATGTTAATGGTCACTAAGGAACAACAGGGTAGGTTAATGGTCACTAAGGAACAACAGGGTAGGTTAATGGTCACTAAGGAACAACAGGGTAGGTTAATGGTCACTGAGGAACAACAGGGTAGGTTAATGGTCATTAAGGAACAACAGGGTATGTTAGTGGCCACTGAGGAACAACAGGGTAGGTTAATGGTCACTAAGGAACAACAGGGTAGGTTAATGGTCATTAAGGAACAACAGGGTATGTAAGTGGTCCCTGAGGAACAACAGGGTAGGTTAATGGTCAATTAAGGAACAACAGGGTAGGTTAATGGTCACTAAGGAACAACAGGGGTAGGTTAATGGTCACTAAGGAACAACAGGGTAGGTTAATGGTCACTGAGGAACAACAGGGAATGGTCACTGAGGAACAACAGGGGTAGGTTACAGGGTAGGTTAATGGTCATTAAGGAACAACAGGGTATGTTAGTGGTCACTGAGGAACAACAGGGTAGGTTAATGGTCACTGAGGAACAACAGGGTAGGTTAATGGTCACTAAGGAACAACAGGGTAGGTTAATGGTCACTGAGGAACAACAGGGTATGTTAATGGTCATTAAGGAACAACAGGGTATGTTAGTGGCCACTAAGGAACAACAGGGTAGGTTAATGGTCACTAAGGAACAACAGGGTAGGTTAATGGTCACTAAGGAACAACAGGGTAGGTTAATGGTCACTAAGGAACAACAGGGTAGGTTAATGGTCATTAAGGAACAACAGGGTATGTTAGTGGCCACTGAGGAACAACAGGGTAGGTTAATGGTCACTAAGGAACAACAGGGTAGGTTAATGGTCATTAAGGAACAACAGGGTATGTAAGTGGTCCCTGAGGAACAACAGGGTAGGTTAATGGTAATTAAGGAACAACAGGGTAGGTTAATGGTCACTAAGGAACAACAGGGTAGGTTAATGGTCACTAAGGAACAACAGGGTAGGTTAATGGTCACTGAGGATCAACAGGGTATGTTAGTGGTCACTGAGGAACAAAAGAGTTGGTAAATGGACACTAAGGAACAACAGGGTATGTTAGTGGTCACTGAGGATCAACAGGGCAGGTTAGTGGTCACTGAGGATCAACAGGGTATGTTAGTGGTCACTGAGGATCAACAGGGTAGGTTAGTGGTCACTGAGGATCAACAGGGTATGTTAGTGGTCACTGAGGAACAACAGGGTAGGTTAGTGGTCACTGAGGATCAACAGGGTATGTTAGTGGTCACTGAGGAACAACAGGGTATGTTAGTGGTCACTAAGGAACAACAGGGTAGGTTAATGGTCACTGAGGAACAACAGGGTAGGTTAATGGTCACTAAGGAACAACAGGGTAGGTTAGTGGTCACTGAGGAACAACAGGGTAGGTTAGTGGTCACTGAGGAACAACAGGGTATGTTAGTGGCCACTAAGGAACAACTGAGTGGTCACTAAGGAACAACAGGGTAGGTTAGTGGTCACTGAGGAACAACAGGGTATGTTAGTGGTCACTAAGGAACAACAGGGTATGTTAGTGGTCACTGAGGATCAACAGGGTATGTTAGTGGTCACTGAGGATCAACAGGGTATGTTAATGGTCACTAAGGAACGACAGGGTAGGTAAATGGTCACTGAGGATCAACAGGGTAGGTTAGTGGTCACTAAGGAACAACAGGGTATGTTAGTGGTCACTGAGGAACAACAGGGTAGGTTAGTGGTCACTGAGGATCAACAGGGTATGTTAGTGGTCACTGAGGATCAACAGGGTAGGTTAGTGGTCACTGAGGATCAACAGGGTATGTTAATGGTCACTGAGGATCAACAGGGTAGGTTACTGGTCACTGAGGATCAACAGGGTATGTTAGTGGTCACTGAGGATCAACAGGGTATGTTAATGGTCACTAAGGAACGACAGGGAAGGTAAATGGTCACTGAGGATCAACAGGGTAGTTTAGTGGTCACTAAGGAACAACAGGGTATGTTAGTGGTCACTGAGGATCAACAGGGTAGGTTAGTGGTCACTGAGGATCAACAGGGTATGTTAGTGGTCACTGAGGAACAACAGGGTAGGTTAATGGTCACTGAGGAACAACAGGATATGTTAGTGGTCACTAAGGAACAACAGGGTAGGTTAGTGGTCACTGAGGAACAACAGGGTATGTTAGTGGTCACTGATATAAGGAACAACAGGGTAGGTTAATGGTCACTAAGGAACAACAGGGTATGTTAGTGGTCACTAAGGAACAACAGGGTAGGTTAATGGTCACTGAGGAACAACAGGATATGTTAGTGGTCACTAAGGAACAACAGGGTAGGTTAATGGTCACTAAGGAACAACAGGATATGTTAGTGGTCACTAAGGAACAACAGGGTAGGTTAGTGGTCACTGAGGAACAACAGGTATGTTAGTGGTCACTAAGGAACAACAGGGTATGTTAATGGTCACTGAGGAACAACAGGGTAGGTTAATGGTCACTGAGGAACAACAGGGTAGATGATATGAGGAAGTTACAGTACAAATGGGTCAGTCTCCATTAAATGAACAGCAAAGTATAATAATAAAAAATCATGACAAATCATGATGCCATAGAGTCATCAATACGTGCATCTACACCCGAATTTGTCATGTATCTGTTTACAGGAGAACGCGGTCCCCCGGGCCCCCCAGGTGAACGGGGATTTATGGGGATGCCAGGACTTCCCGGCGCGTCAGGGCCCCCCGGATCTATGGGTGAGTATGGCTAATGGGTGAGTGTGACCATCCACCTGTACCCTGGTCTGTTGGTGAGTGTCAATATTGGTGTAGCCTGGCACCCTGTGGGATTCAATGGCTTTGAGTGAATGCCAAAGTGTTGCAGCCAGTAGGATTCTCGAGGCTTTAGGTGAGTGTGACTGCCGCACTCTTCCGCCAGCTATATCTGGTCCTGTGTAAATATTTTACATTTCGACTATGTATATTACCTGTGGAACTTTTGGGAATGTTTGGAAACGAAAATACTTTGTGAAGACCAAACTGTAAAGTATGATAGCCGGCAACCGGTTTCGATCGACGTGAGGCACTTACTTTCTTGTGTTATGCTTTCCAGGCAATAGAGGTCCAAAGGGAGAGCGAGGATCCACCGGCCACGGCACGCAGGGAAAGCCAGGTCCCCCGGGACTGCCAGGTGAGCCCCGTGGAAACACACTTACTTACAGGTGATGCCGGTCAAGCGGCAGACTGACTTCACTGGTTTGTGCCATTTGTTTTGTAAAGTTATCACTCACCATTTGAATTTACCCCGCAGGTCCTACTGGTCCGACAGGCGAAGGGATTATGGGACGGCCGGGCGAGAGGGGGCCTCCTGGTATAGGTGGTCATCACGGCCGCCGTGGTATCATGGGTCCTCCAGGCCCCCCTGGATACTGTGAATACTGCAACTACGCCCTACCAGGACCCGAATACATCCGACTGCCGAGAAATGACATCAAGGGGCCTTAAAACTTTCAAACCCCCTGATAAAATGGTTTAAATGTCCCGTCACCTGTAGCCATTTATCTTAGATTCTCTCCATCCTTATTTCATTTGATACTCCCTCTCTGACTCACCTCCTCCTCTTCCTCAGATTCCCCCGCTTTGTCTGTCCTCCACAATACTACCTTCGTATATACATATGCAAAACCACCACCACTTGGACGCTGTATTCAGGTGAAGTGTTCTCCACTAACAAGTGTGTTCCTAACTTGTATTTGAAGCATAATTAAATATTTCTGACCTTTCTACCTGCACTAGTCATCACCATAGCATAGATCTCCCCATTTGTTGGATTATATATAAACCTGATGGTCCACTGGCCATGTATCCCGACATCGTAATGTTCTGCCGCATAAGGCTCCGGCCATTGCGGGGTATGTGAGCAGTTTACCGTTGTGGTCCTCCTGCATGTAGGCCCGAAACGGGTTACCTCCCCTTCTTTAGTTGTTGCGATTTACGCTACAGGCTGACGCAGGTTTGAGATGTTTTGGGAGCTTTTTATGATGTCATTTCTTCATGCCATCCAAGCAAAGTGTCTGTGTTAGAGGATCAGCAAGAAAGAGTGACAGGATCTTAGTATCCCGCCATGTGTCACGTGACGATTTGGTGACGATCGGATGACATGTTTGGGTCCCGCCATACACTGAAGGCCTTGCAGGCGTATCATGTGATATCTTCATCTGCCCTCATCCAATATATTACAGACACGTCATAGTACAGAACAGAGCTCTCTCGTGGTTGGTTTCAGCGTATATCAGGTGGTATTCAGTCCAATATGATTGGTTGTTTGTACACCACATGATAGTTATCATTCATGACTCGTGTGGAGATTTAGAGAGCGAAGGCCAAGTTGAGACTATGTGCGTGCTTTGGACAATGTGTTTTCTTTGGTGCTATTGAACTATTGGTCGCGTTTGGCCTTCTGAAACTTACACAGAACCATTTTACCTCCGTACTGCTATCAAGAGGCAATAACACAGACTGGGAGTTGTTCTATTGCTGACTTCCGGTCACGTGTCCATCGTGGCCGCCAAGGCCCTGATAGGGCTTCACACGTTACATTGTATTCAAGACACTCACCTTACGACCTCACAACTGCATTTTCCAAACTTGCATATGGGTGATATTGTTTCAACTAGCTACATGACAACTACTCATGAACATCAGAACACCTGTGAACTTCCAAAGAAACACTGCCAAAGAATTTACATCACATAATTCTGAAACGAGGTAAATTATCCATAATTCGTTGTATACATTGAATTTATTCTTAGAATTTCTTTCTTGAATTCTTTGCGTGTTTCTTGTTGTGTTAAATCTCGTTAATACTTGTATGCACATTTCAAAGCATTTATTGTGTAATTTAAACACAACTACTGTTATCATAGGCTACTTCATATTGCCACCTCGTCACGTTAGCCACGCTTCTGTAGAGTACAGCAGGCCTTAGGTATTCAAAGTCTGCTAATCTTAGAGTATGTATTCAAACATAGACGTAAGTGCAAATTGTATTTGTGACAGCTGCTCTAGATTTTCGTTTTGTATATTTACATCCACTGGAAGATAAGATCTCTTTAGGTAATAAATTACTTACTTCTTGTACAGCCTGCGGCGTTGTTTGTGCTAGTGAAATATATACTTCCCTGCATGTCTGGGAGAGAACCGGGTGACTTGTTCAGTAACAGGGACCTCAACATGATTCACTGGTCTTAAGGCACCAAAGGTTTCAACTTTTAACTTCTAAAACCACTGGTTGTATTACAAGGTAATGAATGAAACAGAATATATTGCCGGTTACCAAATAACAGATTCGTATCTCATGGATGTAGTTTATCTTAAGATTCACACACGTACATACAGATCACTCGATATTCCTTGAAGTATTACACACACACACACACACACACACACACACACACACAGAGAGAGAGAGAGTAGGGTCACAACTCCTGCTGTCACGAGACGCTCCGTCACCTGCTGTCTAGCTGTGGAATATAGTGAGACGTAGATTCCTACCCCCACCCACCATTTGCTGGGGACACTGCAAGTTCCTCTGGGGGTAAATTGGATGTAACGAGACTTACAACCGGAGCTCATTTGAATGGCGACTCATCATTGTGAGACAGCACAATGAAGAGACTTTTTACTTTGGTGAAGGCTACGAGCACGGCCAAACCGTAGAGCGAATGAGTGTGGTTTCACGACTCCTATTGCAAGATTCCTGCAATAGCCTTGAAACATAATGAGGACGAATATGGGATTCGTAACCTCGATTGTATATTTTACTGCACCGCAAAGAGACGCAACTCTCCGGGTGATGGACTACTCCATTATTTACACAATCACGCAATGCTAGAAAAGATGTGCCAGAGAGCCTTTATCTAAGTTAATGCGATACGATCTAATATTTAAACTGGCTATACAAACACAAATTGAACATAAATTTCAAGAATAAGATCTGATAATTTACATTTTGTCACACAAATAAACACAACCTGAACATTTCAACAGCCACTCAAAAATAGTTCTATGGGTTTTTTAACAACAAACGAGAAACGGGTGCATACCACGGTATGTGAAAGGTATTAACGCATAACATTCAGCTTCAGGAAAGCTGCCGGACTTTCATTCTTCGTGGAAGTCTCGGTGACCGCGTGCGTTAGATAGCTGATTTTGTGTGCTGGCAATTTGGAGTGGGTTTCAATTCCGGATGGGACTCAACCTCAAAACGTAATAAAATTCCCACATTCCGAAGAAAGGTTTCCCAGATATTTAACGTTTGCGACATAGCCACTTTGAAATCTTCCATTGCATACATTCCAACCATTAATGCTGATCAATGTTAAATGCGGAATACATCTTATACATTCATCTAAACTAATTTTGGTCAAATGGAACGCAGACATATTCCAGTCATGGAGCAGGGCTGTTTGGGTTCCTATAATGACAAAAACCATGTAATTTAAACAGGAAATAGTCCCCTGTAACCCAGATGAAGTTCACGTACCCTACAACAGCCCTACGTCCTCGGCTAGCTGAGGGTTGAACGCCGCTTATGGCATCCATGTAGTGGACACATTATAGGCCACATTGCGGCATTAACCAACCAACAGGTCACTGCGTTACAGCTGGAATACTGCACAATCACTTTACCAAACACATTGTATCTACCGGAGGTGGTAGCATCACAAAGACAAATAAACAACAAAATGTCGAAATTTGTTAATACGGGTTACACTGTAAAAAAAAAAACATCCAGCAACCATGTTCATGGTGTGAAGACATCACAGGTCACGTAACCAAAGTTATATTTTTGGAGTGCTTCAGTCAATATTTACAAGGTAAATTATTGGAGGCATCAACAAACCTCCCATCAGTTTTAAGCCACCCTGACACTTGCACGAATTTTATCCCCGAACTGCCGCGCAATCCGTCGTGGCAATGCGTCTAATTCAGATGGTACGCATGAAAGCGTGAAGCCTAGTTTGCGCACTGTTCGCGTCCTGTTTCCGCGTAAGTTACGTACTTGGCACGCAATGCGTGACCGAAAATGGTGCTCACTGGAACGCATTGGCAGGCTATGGCATGACTTATTTTACGACCAGGTCAAGTATTGTTGGCGCATTGTTTACGTCTAGTGTACGGCATAGTACGCACGATACGCATAGTTCCAGCATGGGCATGCATTGCCACAACCACTTCGCGCATGCGTGAGCAGTCGTTGTATTACTTGGTCCCGCTTTGTCCAGCTTGACGCCACGCTATATAAATAGCAGGCATCACCCCCAGCTTCATTCATTGCTGTGGACCTACAAGATGTTGAACACTAGAGAACAAGCTCTTATTGCAGAAAAGAACACAGGGGCTTGTAACGCTAAAAACTGCCATCAAGGTATATACTGTCACTGACGGGGTCATAGTACTATAAAAGCTTTTATATAGTACTATGACCCCGTCAGTGACAGTATATACCTTGATGGCAGTTTTTAGCGTTACAAGCTTTTAAATAGTACCATGACCCCGTCAGTGACAGTATATACCTTGATGGCAGTTTTTAGCGTTACAAGCCCCTGTGGAAAAGAAAAGGCGTCTATATCTCGCAGGTGCAGCACTATTACTTCTTGAAGACCAGCAAATGCAGCAAGAGCAGGCCAAAGAAGAAAACGTAACCCCAACTAGAAAAAGGAAAACAAGGACAGTGTGAGTGAGGGAATGGTTGACTATAATACATCACTTCGGACATTATGAAGTGAACTCCACAAGGAAGATCCAAAGAGGCTACAGAAATAACCTGAGAATTTCCCCCGACTTGTTCCAAGACATGGTGGAGAAGTTAACCCCTCATCTTGAGAAGAAAACCACATTCATGAGAGAACCGCTGAGACTCAAGCTGGCAATCACTCTTCGCTTCCTAGCCACTGGTAATTCCTATGCAAGTCTACAGTATAGCTTCAGAGTTGAAGCCACTACAATCAGCAAGTTCTTACCAGAGGTTTGCAAAGCCATCATTGAGGTTTGCAGGGACGAAGTACTCAGGTGCTCCAAAACTGAAGAGGAGTGGAAGGAGGTTGCTGAAGGAACTACCACAGCTGTCTGGGGGCTGTGGACAGAAAGCACGTTGCTATGAAGAAGCCACCCAAAGCAGGATCAGTACTACAAGGGCTTCCACAGCATTGTACTCATGGCCCATGTAAATGCTTTATACAAGTTCTTGTATGTTGATATTGGGGCAGAGGGTGGTGCTTCAGATGGAGGGACATGGAAGAACTGTACTTTGCACAAAGCTGTCGAGGACAACCGAGCCGGACTGCCTGGACCAGCTCCACCCCCCTAATGATGACAAGCCTGTGCCATATCATTTTGATGTCCAAAATTGGGTTATTGCAGTGACATTCAGCCAATGTTTCTGCTTCTTGTCGAACAGCTGGGGGTGCTGCTTAACAGATTCGACCAGCTTCATAGTTCCCTCATCCGTCCATTTGTAGTCCGGTATTTGGAGAAAATATCCCTCTCACTCTCTGCAACTTCTGTCTCTATCTCTCTCTGTTTCTTATCCGGTCTCTTCTTCCAGTCTTCTGTGTCCATTGCTGGTACTGCTCTTCCTCTGGTTGTCTTCTTCTTCCTGGCAGGCATTTTGTTGACTGTTCCCTGTCGAGTTGAGGAATGTTGGGACTGGCGATTTGCACGCTTTTATGTACGCACTGCCAATTTCGTGACATGCACAAACTATTCGTGCTGTGCGCAAACTATACGGGAACTAGTCATGCCGTGACCACGAGAACAAGTCGTGACAATACACAAGTCCCGCCCTACTTCATGACAAGTTATAAGGCGTGAACTTTCCGCAATCTGTCGCGACCATGTCGCACACAGTTCGTGACCAATGTGTGACACTGCATGTCAATGCGCGCAAGGCCGGAAACTGACACGCTTTGATACGCACCGCCCACAGTGTTTGCGAGTAAGTTGCGCAATGTTTATGACTAGTTCACGCAAGTGGCACAAAGATTATGCGTACCAAAATTTTTTAACATTTTAAACTTTTCTTTGTGCACTGGTACGCAGCACCACACAGTTTATGCACACTTCACAACAGTTTACGCCAAATTTACTCATTGGCACGCAAAATTGCGTACCAGTGCGGGGACAACATTCGTGCAAGTGTCAGGGTGGCTTTAGGGTAGGGAAGGGACGCGCTACAAAGTTTCGTCCCAAAAGGATTTTACAGCTTGACTTAAATGTGTACTATACATGACGACTTGAGATGTAATTATAACACTCTAAGATTTGAACACGAGGACTTGAGTTGCACCTACAAAGCATGAATTTAGACGTGCGTACAGGATATTATAATTTGACGTCAGCGTTCAGTACACATGACATTGTCCAATGTCCGATGATACTGAAATTGGCAAGTGTTTTCTGGGTCAGTAATTGCCCATAACATCTGCAGGTGAAGATTGTCCAGTGTTCAACGAGACACAGATTGTGGAACCCTTTTCTGAGACAGATATCGCCAATGTCTGCTGGGACAGAAACATTCCACCTATTGCTGGAGTGAGTGAATTTAGTTTTACGCTGCACTCAGTAATATTCCAGGTATATGGCGGCGGTCTGTAAATAATTGAGTCTGGACCAGACAATCCAGTGATCAATAGCATGAACATCGATCTGTGTAATGGGGATACATACGATGACATGTGTCTGACCACCCGATCCTGTTAGTCGCCTGTTACGACAAGCATGGGTTACTGAAGATTAATATTCTAACCCAGACCTTCACAGGTACAAGACCAGCAAGTGTACGGAGATGTATTTTGAGCACATATCCTGAAAGGGTATCATAGTATTCCTGGCACAACATTATCTGAAGGATCCCACTATGTCACCATGAATGTTGTCAACAGCTGTGTTTTCTGTAACACACACACATACATCTTTTTGTAAGAACATAAACAGGTCGTTTATTTCCAATAGAAAACATAACGCTTTTGTAAAGTTCTTCATGTAAACAACTGGTTTATTTCCTTTAAAACACACATACAAATATTTTTGTAATTTCTACACACACACACACACATCTGACCATGACATCGAACCTTCCATCCCAGGTGTACATGTTTATGTCTGATTGCTGTCCCAATATGTCCTGTATGCTGGACACACACACTGCTGGACACACAGACCAACCCGAGGATATTCCTGTGTCCAGGTTTCAGCCCCAGGCTGGCCACATTCCCTGGTAGTTGTGTCCTACAGCTTAAACTATGAAAGGTCATCCTTCTTCTTCCCATAGTCCAGCACATGATCTTCTGGCCTGCAAAACAAGATGGCGGCAATGAGGAAACATGAAGCGAATATGATCCACTGGTTATGAATCTCTCCATCAATTGATTGGGACAAAGTCTAAAAATCTTGAGTTGTGATCTTGTGAACTTGTGATATTGACATGCACTGAAACGGTTTGAAATGGTCATTGTTTTAAATGGCATTGTGTAATCATGTCATTGTTTTACACAATGCAGGAATATGCGTCAAGTACACACAATGTTTACAATCAATGCATAAAACAATACACATTGTGTGCTGAGGGATGCTGAAGAAGTAATTCACTGAAACATATTCTTGACAAGAAATATATCACTGACACTTGTAATTAGTAACTAGCGCTCGTCTCGGCCTTTAGTTATTCTTGACACATGTAATAAGCAACTGGGGCTCGTCTTGGTCTTTAGTTATTCTTGACACATGTAATTAGCAACTGGGGCTCGTCTTGGTCTTTAGTTATTCTTGACACATGTAATTAGCAACTGGGGCTCGTCTCGGCCTTTAGTTATTCTTGACACATGTAATTAGCAACTGGGGCTCGTCTTGGTCTTAAGTTATTCTTGACACATGTAATTAGCAACTGGGGCTCGTCTTGGCCTTTAGTTATTCTTGACACATGTCATTAGCAACTGGGGCTCGTCTTGGCCTTTAGTCATTCTTGACCCATGTAATTAGCAACTGGCTCCTGAACACTACCAACCAGTCAGTTAGTGTAGCATGTCACAATTCCCCACCAAGTGGTGTATATGCTATATACTGCCCAGCCAGGGGAAGTTTATCCTATATACTGACAATCATCCGGTCACGACAAATTGTGAGCCATCAAACATATTGATGAGGCATATGATGTATATAGTAAACTGAAATGCTAAATGGTGCATATCATACAACTGACAAACCAAGTTGTTTATATCCTTTATATTTAGCATGTAAAAGTGTCACATGTTCACGCATGCTATCAAACGAACACTGACACCACCAGTAGACCCTGATGTTGCTATGTAAGACATGACACGTACTGCCCCTTGCAGACCCCAAGGCGGTCAGGACCCCTCGCTCTAGGAGGAAAACTGATGTACAGAACATACCAGTCAAAGAGTCTGGGGAATGTCTTTCTTTCCTCCTCCGTGTATTCATCATATCGTTTTGGCACTGGCATCACTTGACGGATCTGACCGGTGACATTGGCCAGGATCTCCTCAGGGACATTCTGAGGACAAATACACAAGAAATGGTGTAGAACAGGAGAGAGTGTGTAACAGGAAACAGTGTAGAACAGGAGAGAGTGTGTAACAGGAAACAGTGTAGGACAGGAGAGAGTGTGTAACAGGAAACAGTGTAGGACAGGAGAGAGTGTGTAACAGGAAACAGTGTAGGACAGGAGAGAGTGTAGAACAGGAAACAGTGTAGGACAGGAGAGAGTGTGTAACAGGAAACAGTGTAGGACAGGAGAACAGTGTAGGACAGGAGAGGTGTGTAACAGGAAACAGTGTAGGACAGGAGAGGAGGAGAACAGGAAACAGTGTAGGAACAGGAAACAGTGTAGGACAGGAGAGGAGAGTGTGTGTAACAGGAAACAGTGTGGGACAGGAGAGAGAGTGTGTAACAGGAAACAGTGTAGGACAGGAGAGAGTGTGGACAGGAAACAGTGTAGGTGGACAGGAGAGAGTGTGTAACAGGAAACAGTGTAGGACAGGAGAGAGTGTGTAACAGGAAACAGTGTAGGACAGGAAACAGTGTAGGACAGGAGAGAGTGTGTAACAGGAAACAGTGTAGGACAGGAGAGAGTGTGTAACAGGAAACAGTGTAGGACAAGAGAGAGTGTAGAACAGGAAACAGTGTAGGACAGGAGAGAGTGTGTAACAGGAAACAGTGTAGAACAGGAGAGAGTGTGTAACAGGAAACAGTGTAGGACAGGAGAGAGTGTGTAACAGGAAACAGTGTAGGACAGGAGAGAGTTTGTAACAGGAAACAGTGTAGGACAGGAGAGAGTGTGTAACAGGAAACAGTGTAGGACAGGAAAAAGTGTAGAACATGATAAAGTGTAAAACAGGAAAAAGTGTAGAACATGATCAAGTGTAAAACAGGGAACAGGACAGAGTGTAGAACAGGAAACAGTACGGAGCAGGAAACAGTGTAGGACAGGAGAGAGTGTGTAACAGGAAACAGTGTAGGACAGGAGAGAGTGTGTAACAGGAAACAGTGTAGGACAGGAGAGAGTGTGTAACAGGAAACAGTGTAGGACAGGAGAGAGTGTGTAACAGGAAACAGTGTAGGACAAGAGAGAGTGTAGAACAGGAAACAGTGTAGGACAGGAGAGAGTGTGTAACAGGAAACAGTGTAGAACAGGAGAGAGTGTGTAACAGGAAACAGTGTAGGACAGGAGAGAGTGTGTAACAGGAAACAGTGTAGGACAGGAGAGAGTGTGTAACAGGAAACAGTGTAGGACAGGAGAGAGTGTGTAACAGGAAACAGTGTAGGACAGGAAAAAGTGTAGAACATGATAAAGTGTAAAACAGGAAAAAGTGTAGAACATGATCAAGTGTAAAACAGGGAACAGGACAGAGTGTAGAACAGGAAACAGTACGGAGCAGGAAACAGTGTAGAATTTAAAACAAGGAACAGTGTAGAACAGGATAGAGTGAAAAACAGGGAACAGTGAAGAAGAACATGATTAGGTGTAAATCAGGGAACAGTGTAGAGCTAGATAAAGTGTAAAACTGGGAACAGTGTAGAACATGATAAATATGTAATTTTCTGAGTAAAATTGATATTTTATACTTATCCTGACTCATGCTTAATTGCTTGTCTTCTTCTTCTTGCGAACATAGTGGAACACTTGTATCTCCTATTGAAGCTCCCTTCAATGTAAAATCACTAATCACTACTCACCAAGAGTTGTCCCTCCTTCCGTTTTGGCGGGAAACTGGCGCCACTGTTCTCCCACATGCCTCACTCTCTCCTGAATACGAGCCCGACACTTGAATTTACAGGGAAATCCAAAGTGTCTTGTGGATAGGTTGGGAGGGCTTACCTCATGAGTCAGGATAAGTATAAAATATCAATTTTACTCAGAAAATTACATATTTTTCTTTATCCTGACTCATGCTTAATTGCTTGTAGAATCCGACAGATAAGGTGGTGGGAAAAAGCACTTAGGATTTAATTAGTGAATTTTACGTCAAAATAAAAACCCCTACGGGAACTTCATAATGGCACTGTAATTACGCTAAATTCTGCTGCTGTACTCAAAAGTGTTCTTTCAGCTGCCTTTAGATGGGGGGACCACAATAGTTAACTTTTTGGTCCTATTTCTGTTAACATTAATGTGGATTTAGCGACTCCAAAGTGGAGAAGCGACCCGACTGTACTAGTAAACTTACAAGTACTGGGTTTATCACTTATGCTAGTCTTGAGACGTGCAAGGATACTGAAGCAAACTCTGCTGAGTGTAGGCTTGATAAGTCATGTGATAACACAGCGAGACTACGTCTCATCTTCTGTGGGGAACTGTCAACTGCTGTGCGACAACCAGAGGGCCGAAATGGTGAATGCCTGAGACGTCCCTCGGTGGCGATATCTCTCAAGTAGTGGTTTGCAAACACCATGTCCGATTTCCAGAAACAGCCCTCCATGATGGGTGTTAGCGAGCAATTCCCATGTAGAAGCGAGTGTTGATGCCAGTGCTCTAATTTAAGTGAGGGTTAGAGGCTCTTGGAGGATCGAGTCCTGCAGCCTTGTAGGCTCGTAGTATGACAGTTCTTATCCAGATTGATATCGTAGTACGGGAGACTTCCGTCTGTGTCGCTGTTGATATCGGGACGAAAAGTTGTTTAAACTTGCGTCTCATCATTCTGGATCGATGTAGATAAACTTTCAATGCTCTCACAGGGCACAAGGATAAGTCAAAGCGTATCATGTGGTCAGTATGGAGGATAGTGCTGGGGCGTGGAATTGTCTGTCTGTCGGTTGACCTGGCAGTTGATTCTTAGCGATAAAATCCCATCGCAGTCCCATGTGCACCGTATTTTGATTATCATCAAATTGCGTTCACTCGTAATCTAGAGCATGAATTTCCGACATCCTCGTTGCTGTTGCTAGGGCTAGCAGGAACAGTGTTTTCTGTGTCAAGAATTCAAAGGATGTTGTCTCCAGTGGTTCGTAAACGTCACTTGTGAGATGTTTGAGAACGATATTGAGGTCCCATGCCGGAGCGCGAAATCTCTGTTTTTGGTCCTCCAATCTGTAAGAGCGTAACAAGGCCAGTAACTCTGGTACTTTGGTTAGCTTTGCACCCGTTCTCATAGTTATCACTGAACTGAATGCCGCTAGGTATGTTGAGAGTGTAGACCCTTTCAGACGCTTGGTTTGTCGTAGGTGACAAAGATAGTCTGCCACTTGAGGATGTGTTGCATTTCTAGCTGTAAATCCCTTTTTAGCAGCGTAGGTCTCAAAACTGCATGCTTGTCGTCGCTCATACAAGTTGCGTGTAGAGATTGCATAAAGCAAGCATGACTGCTTTCGCCGCTCTGGCTGAGTTACCTCTCTTGTTTAAACACGCCTTGATCCAGTCCATACGTGTAGTTGGAATGCCCTTGGAGTTGCCGTATCGCGCTTGTTTTGTGTGAGGATGTACTAGTAGATTGATCGCTCTGGTAGTTGCAGTATTGGTGGTCGAGTTCTTGTATGAGAATTGGGAACCATATTCTCGCTGGCCAGTAAAGTAGCGACCAAAATCAGTTGGAGGTTCCTTGCCTGGCTGATTTTCTGTAACACTTTGGTAGAAGCTGGCGGCAGAAAGCAGCGTCTGGCGTTGAGGCCTTCCCAAGATATGCTGAAGCGTCCGTTGCCCGCTCTCGTGGGTCTGGGACTGGCGAGACGAATGTTGTTAGCTGATTGTTGAATTGTGTGGCGAATAGGTCTATTAATGGAGCTCCTATTTCCTTGATGATCTGTGTGAAGATTTCTGGATGGAGCATCCATTCCGTCGGTGATGGTAGAGTTGGACGGGATAGTGCGTCTGCTATGACATTCTTGGCTCCTGGAATGTGACATGCTCTTATGTGGATGTTCAGATCGTCGATTAGGTCGAACAGTTGAAAGCAGAGATCTAGTAGGTTCAATGATCTTGTTGAGCCTTGTTTGTTTATGTAAAACGCCACTGTTGAGCTGTCTGTGTGTACCATGAGATGCGCATTCTGTAGAATGGTGCTCCAATGGAGTATGGCGTTGATTGCTGCTTTCATCTCTAGCATGTTGATATGCAGATGTTTCTCTTCCTGATTCCATATCCCGGCTGCCACATGGTTGTCGAGATGTGCTCCCCAACCTTGGAGTGACGCGTCTACGTATAGATGGGTCTTGAACTCCGGCTCTGCTAAATAGATGCCTTCGCAAACATTCGACCTCCGGGTCCACCATAGTAGATGTGGTCTGAGACAATTCGGTAGACTGAAGGGTTGTAGGTCGTCGCGATGAGCGTTGATGAGGACCTGTAACGGGCGTAGCTGTAGTCTGCCTCTGGCTGTCATGTCTTACGCAGACGTGAGGAGACCCAACAGACTCTGCCACTGTCCTAGTGGCCATGGAGAGAGTAAGGCTTGAGGTATGGTCTGTTGAATCTTGAGCCATCAGTCCCCTGGCACGACAATACGGTTGTGCTTCGTGAGAAATCTGATGCCTAGAAACTGTAGGTCCTGCGTAGGTTCTAGGTCCGACTTGAGTAGATTCACTAACCATCCTAGCTGAGTTAGTAGATTGATGGTGAAATTCAGTTGTAGTTTGAGACGGACTGGGTCTTGATCTACTTGAATCCCGTCGTCGAGGTAAAATGCACTGCGTAGCCCTCGATGATGTAGATACGTGACTATGGGTTTCGTTACTCTTGTAAACAACCAGGGGGTCGATGATATTCCAAATGGCAGGACATTCCATTGGTAATGTAGCCCGTCCAGTGTAAACCTGAGGTACTTTCTCGAGTCGGGATGTATCGGGATATGCAGGTAGGCATCCTGTAGATCTATGCTTGCCATGTAGTCCATCAGATGGACGAGGTGGATTAGTTGAGGTAGATGTATCATGCGGAACCTGGGGGGTCTGCGTAGATAATCCCTGTTGAACGTGCTCATATTGTAGATGAGTCGGAACTTTTCTTTGGGTTTTTTCTTTGGAACCAGGAAAACTGGGGAGTAGAAACCTGGTTCGATGTTGACTTGATCCACGATTTCTATGTCCTGCTTGGTTAGAAGAGATGAGACAGCCTCTCGTAACTTCTCTATCTGATGTGCCTTGAAGTCAAACTTGTAAGGGTTGACTGTCAGCGGTGGCTTGGCCTGTAGTTGGATGGGATATCCGTGTCTTAGGATGTTGGATACGTATGGATCTTGTAGTATTTCCCAGTTTTCCCAGTGGCGTTGTAGACATCCACCCACTTGTGAAGGTTGTACAGGAACGGTCGGGGGTGGAAGACTCAAGTCGTTCCGAACCCGTCTTTCATCGTCGATAATTCCAGGGACCTCTGGGTGCCCTGCCTCGTCCGGATCCTCCCCTGTAGTTGCCGGATGGGCGGCGAAAAGAGTCCTTCCCGCCTCTGAAGCTCCCCACTTTCCTGTCCCGTGCTCTCTGAATTCCAGGAAACTTGGATCTTCCTGAGTAACGCTGGGTTGTCTGCCTGATGACGCTGGCCAGAGTGTCTATGGACTTTAGGACTTCTCTTGAATCTTTAGTGACTTCCTTAGCAACCCTGTCGATTTCTCCAGCAAAGATGGAAGGAGTTGACCACGGGGCTGTGTAAAGTGATGCTGTAAACTGTTCACTCCAACTGCAGGAGGCGAGGAGACCTTGACGATGAGCCAGAGTTAGAGCTGCGGAGATGGACGAAAGGTGGTCTGACATGAACTGTTGGTCCTTCTTCTGCATAAGGAGGGCCTAATAAATCATTCTGTCTTCTTCCGCAGTGGAATCTCGAAACTTGGCGATGAGCGTTTCGTTGACTGTGCGAGATCTGTTGAGGCCGAAGAACATTCTTCTGGTCATAGTTTCTACTTGAGCCAGCTTGCGGTCCTCAATCTTGTACGACTTGGCCTTGGCATCGCTGATTACTTTAAAGTTGTCGTCTATGTCCTGAGCTTTAAGGAAAGGATCCATATTATGGGAGGAGAACTTCCTGGCGTTGAACTGTGGTAAGTGTGGCGCCTGGGTTTTAGTGGCTGTCTTGAAAGCTGCGTGCAGGCTCTGTGGAACCGATGCGACGGGATCGATCGGGGGTAGAGTGAGCATGTCGACATCATCATCTGTCATCAGATAGGTGTGAGCCGGATTATCGTTCTTATAGATGGTGAAGCCAAGTCCAAACCATTAGCCATCCAGTACCGTATTTCAGAGTCCGAGAATATGATGCCGCAATCATCTTCAGTAACAGGAGCTCTGAGAAGGGGACGTTGATACTCCTCCGACAGTGAACGAGGTGGTGTCCTGCGTGACTGTGATGACCTGGGTGGCGATCTACGTGGAGACCTGCGTGGAGACCTGCGCGGAGACCTGCGCGGAGACTTGTTGGCGAACGTCGTGGTGACTTGCGTGGAGACCTGTGTGGAGACCTTCGCTGAGACCTGCGTGGGGATCTGCGTGGAGATCGGCGAGGAGATCGACGTGGTGAATGGCCTGACGAGCTGTGCCTGCATGGGGACCTGCGCGGAGATGAGCGACTGTAGGTTCGCAAAGCTCCTGGTGAATCCCTCGATGATCTACGGGACGAAAATGTCTTGGATACTGTAGCTGACGTCCTTCGCGAAGGCCTTCGCGAAGCACCATCTCAGTCCGCCCTTGGGGAGTGGCGACTGGTCCTTCGCGAAGGCTGGTTGTCCGAGCCAGAGTCCGGGGATGAGCGATTCTTCCTCCGTGAACGCTTCCGCGAGCGTTGATCATCTGAGTCCGAAGCAGGTGGGGATCGTGTAGTCCTTCGCGAACGCCTCCGCGAACGCTGGTCGTCCGAGTCCTCCGTCGGGGCAGGCTGTGTCGACCTTCACGCAGGCTGGCCCAGTGGTGTAGTTCTGCTGGCAGATGTCACGTTGATGGCAGGCCCCTCAGAGATGATGTCTACGTTGGAGCCTTCGCGAAGGCTCGGGCCCTGGGCTGGCTGTTTCTTCCCCGGGCCGTAGCGCTCTTCCATTAGCTCCATGATCTGCTGGGAGAACTGCTGCATAAAGTCGCCCTGGAAGGTCTGCGGTGGTACCAGCGCTGCCCTTTCTGCGATGATGGCGAGGGGGCCCACGGGACGATCATCTGATGTCGGCGTTGATACATCGGGTTGAGATAGGATCTGCGCTGACGTCACTGTAGCTGAGACCAGTCGTTTCTTGTGATGCACCTCTGGGATGATGATCGGCTGATCATCATACAGGCCCTGTTCTGCGACGGGAACAATCTCGGCCGAGAAAGTTCTAGTAGTCTGCGTTGGCTTCCCTTTGGTTGCGGCAGCTGCCCTGGGGGTGCGAAGTCTGCGCTGGGTGGTAGACGACTTCCGAGTCTTGGACTGCGACGACGGGATGACTGGAGATGCAGGTCTCTTCTTGGAGGTGGCGGACTTCGTCCCAAGCCTCTCCTCCGAGGGAAACTCCAGCGGAACACCAGACGGTAGGGGGTCGTCCGACAGCAGTTGACTGGTGAGGGACTCAGCTGTGTTGTCCATGACTGGATCAATCCTGCGCGACCTATCTGCAGCACGCCTCAGGACCCAAAGTAAATATTTATTAAATTCACAATTTGATAAAAGCTTGCAACAATTGCAGCGTGAGCTGAAAGAACATGGTACTGTGCAACTAGGGCATACTAGGTGCGGGTCAGCAGCAGAGAAACGTAACTTACATACGGAACAGATTTTCATGAACGTAAACTACTGAACAAACACGGAATACACCGTGAAAAAACAGTTGTAAATACGAATAAATATCAAAACATATTGATGAAGGATACTAGCTAAACCTCTATAAAGAACTTATAGAGGTAACTAACTAAATAATCAGGCACTCTCACAACCTGCTCACTGGGCGAAGAAGGAGAGAGTGAGGCATGTGGGAGAACAGTGGCGCCAGTTTCCCGCCAAAACAGAAGGAGGGACAACTCTTGGTGAGTAGTGATTAGTGATTTTACATTGAAGGGAGCTTCAATAGGAGATACAAGTGTTCCACTATTATCGCAAGAAGAAGAAGACAAGCAATTAAGCATGAGTCAGGATAAGGAAAAATTGTAAAACTGGGAAGAGTGTAGAGCATGATAGAGCATAAAATAGGGTAGAGTGTAAAAGAGGGAACAGTGTAAAACAGGATAGAGTGTAAAATAGGGTAGAGTGTAAAAGAGCGAACAGTGTAAAACGGGATAGATTGTAAAATAGGGTAGAGTGTAAAAGAGGGAACAGTGTAGAGCATGATAAAGTGTAAAAGAGGGAACAGTGTAAAACGGGATAGAGCGTAAAATAGGGTAGAGTGTAAAACGGGATAGAGTGTTAAACGGGATAGAGTAAAATAGGGTAGAGCGTAAAGAGGGAACAGTGTAAAATGGGATAGAGCGTAAAATAGGGAACAGTGTCAAACAGGGAACAGTGTAGAGCATGATAAAGTGTAAAACAGGGAACAGTTTAAAATAGGATAGAGTGTAAAATAGGGTAGAGTGTAAAACAGGGAACAGTGTCAAACAGGATAGAGTGTAAAAGAGGGAACAGTGTAAAATAGGATAGAGTGTAAAATAGGGTAGAGCGTAAAAGAGGGAACAGTGTAAAACGGGATAGAGTGTAAAATAGGTAACAGTGTAAAACAGGGAACAGTGTTGAGCATGATAAAGTGTAAAAGAGGGAACAGTTTAAAATAGGATAGAGTGTAAAATAGGGTAGAGTGTAAAACAGGGAACAGTGTCAAACAGGATAGAGTGTAAAAGAGGGAACAGTGTAAAATAGGATAGAGTGTAAAATAGGGTAGAGTGTAAAAGAGGGAACAGTGTAAAACGGGATAGAGTGTAAAACGGGATAGAGTGTAAAATAGGGTAGAGCGTAAAGAGGGAACAGTGTAAAATGGGATAGAGCGTAAAATAGGGAACAGTGTAAAACAGGGAACAGTGTTGAGCATGATAAAGGGTAAAACAGGGAACAGTTTAAAATAGGATAGAGTGTAAAGTAGGGTAGAGTGTAAAACAGGGAACAGTGTCAAACAGGATAGAGTGTAAAAGAGGGAACAGTGTAAAATAGGATAGAGTGTAAAATAGGGTAGAGTGTAAAACGGGATAGAGAGTAAAATAGGGTAGAGTGTAAAAGAGGGAACAGTGTAAAACAGGATAGAGTGTAAATGAGGGGACAGTGTAAAACAGGGTAGAGTGTAAAAGAGGGAACAGTGTAAAACAGGATAGAAGTTTAAGTTGAATCTACTGGGGACAGAATACTGACCTTCTTTAACAACATCTAACACATGACAGAAGCAGACCATGTCATCAACTTCATATTCCCTAACTCTTTGAGGTTTGAGAAGCTGGTGATGAGATGCGTGACAGCCAATCTTTATGATATTCATGTTCACAAAACCACATCATTTGCAGCAAAGACAGACTTTTCAATAATCAGAGGATCCCACTGATCAGTGTTATGTCGTTATTAATATCTTGCATCTTGCAAGGCCTTCATAAAAAGAGCTATCTGCAGTCAAAGTATTTCCAAGTGTGTATGAAACTAGCTACAGGTCTCAACTCTCCTACCTCCTCCTCAAACAGATGTAGTCTTCTCATGATGGTGTGTCTCAGCAGGTTGCCCGGGAGACGGCTGTATACAGCTCTGTACATGATCTGTAACACCACGCTTGACATTGAGACAACTCAAACATAACACCTGTGCAGCTCCTTGAGAGATCTCAAACATAACACCTATGCAGCTCCTTGAGACAACTCAAACATAACACCTATGCAGCTCCTTGAGACAACTCAAACATAACACCTATGCAGCTCCTTGAGACAACTCAAACATAACACCTATGCAGCTCCTTGAGACAACTCAAACATAACACCTATGCAGCTCCTTGTATGAAAAGAAGAAACAATTCAGCGCTTTAAATGTGGGGAAAATGTATTTCTCAGAGTTCACTAAAATAAGAAAATGCTACATTTGCTAACCACAAGGCACTGTCACTCACCAGATAACAACATAGTAAGCTGAAAATAACAAATTAGTCCAATCCGTGGCTATAAAGGAAGAAGGACGTCATGGTTAACAGGCTTTGAAAATGTTATGTCTGTCTGAAGTGAAAAGATTGTGATATGAAAGTAATATTGTGCCATTGTTATGGTACAAAACAAAAACGAGTACTGAGTGTATGATTCAAGCAGACTTTGGTGAAAGGGTTCAGCTTTTTGTTGACAGCTGTCAAGGGTGACTCCACACAGTGTCTCAATCGTTACCTTTGTGGCATCCAGCTGGTGCAGTCTCCATGCCGATGTGGCAGTGTAGCCACCCCCATGTCTGAAACACAGAGACGGAGAAATGAACACATCACACAACTATAGGATCCGCCATACACGTTGTCACGCCTGACTTGAGAAGAGTCACGTTGAAGTGGTGTCACAATATATAGTTTCAGGAGGTGATGACTGAGGTACAGCTTGCATCTCAACTGTTATAAATGAGTACTGTCAGGTTTAGCTACCATTGCTACATGAAGATATGCAGATTTTTAACCGAGTGTGTTTCCGTATCATTAATATCATACATTAGGAATAAAAATTGTATTATGAGAGCCTTTGGAATATAATATATTAGGAATAAAAATTGTATTATGCAAGCCTTTGGCATATAATATATAAAGAATAAAAATTGTATTATGCGAGCCTTTGGCATATAATATATTAGGAATAAAAATTGTATTATGCGAGCCTTTGGCATATAATATATTAGGAATAAAAATTGTATTATGCAAGCCTTTGGCGAGCATAATACATATTTTTTATTCCTAATATATGACATTAATGATACGGAAACACACTCGGTTAATAATCTCTTTATCATATAATGTCATTCTTAAAATTACTCTTAAAAAAAGAAACAAATCGTACATATAGGTTATCACGCGAGTGTGTTTTGGGATGGTTAATATCCTGCATTAGGAATAATCATTGTATTTAGCAAGCCTTGGCGAGGAGTAATACGTTACGTCACAAGCCCGGTGACATAATTTTCTCCTGATCACTCAGCAGTCATCTAGTTCCCAGTAAGCTTTTATGCTAAAAAACACGTATTGATGTCAACAAATCTTAGCTTACGTTTGAAAAATAACAACAAACTCACGTGGAACTTCAGAAACCTTCAATTAACCTTTTGAACAACCAAATACGCTTTAATGTTAGCGTGACACTGTGCACCGTTCTCTCGCTAACACTGACAGTCGGTCAGGGAACTGATGTTTGTATCTTCGTAAGCCTATGAATTTCTATCTTCGCTTTGTAATCTACTCCATCTATCAAAACCAGGCATGAATTTTCTGGGATCAAAGCACTGACAGTACCGTAACCAAAGCCGTCAATCTGGACACGACCGCCAACCCTTGAAGCCATGTTTGTTTACACTGTGAAAGTAGTCCCTGAAATTTGCATATGACCTCTCTAATTTGCATCGATATCCATATATGACCCCAACGGATACCGAAAATATCCGTTGGCTTTATCCTGCTGAGAACACTATCCATTGTATGATAAATGAATTTATATGAAGAGAATCGAGCATTCACGTAACAATACTTAGCGTTACACCAAGGTGAAGGTCGTTCATGACGGCGGCATATGGTTGTGACTAGTCGCTAATACAGTGCAAACATAACTCATGCCTATAATCAGATCTTTCTGTTTAAAAAGAACAATAAAATCCAGCAGGGTTTTCTTGGGAGTGTTTCTATTTTCATTTCGGGTAATCACCTCATCAATATCAGTTTCTGATACCTGACGGAATCGATTCGTCGTCTGTATTGTGATCAATAGATCAAAATCCTTGGTCGGGACCTTTCTTAGACAATCATCTTTCCCTTGTGCCTCATAATCCATATCTTCAATTTGAACGAAGTTCTCCGTTTCATGTTTTCCAAAGTCAATTACTGCAGTAACAACTCCAGAACCTCTGCCATCAATTCTTACAGAATCACCAATTTTGAGAATGGAGGCAGCCATGTTTGTTTACAAGCTGCGTATCCTCGTAAATTACACAAATATTAATGTGAAAACTCAAGTCTAGTGCGTACAAGTACGCTTGAATTTTTGTAAATACTCATTAAATATGATATTACATGTGTACACACAACAATGTGATGGAGGTTACTGAGGTTAGGTAAAATAACTGAGGTCTATTGAGAGGTTCTATTTCAGCATACAAACATGGCAACTTGCAGTCTTTCTGATCGTTTCTCATATTATAGATCCAATATAAATAACAAACACGTAAACCAACATTTAAACTTTTTTATATTTTTACAATTAATGGAAAATGGCAAAATAATCAATTGCGTGTGAGTGAGGTGGGTACAATTTATTTGGTTACTCAAAGGAAAATAGGATACCCAGTTGAGATGAACAAAAGCGAGTACATAACTCAATGGCCCAAAAAGTTATCTGTAGCTCAGCCATAGTATGGAGTTTTGTGAAAGTAGTTCGTGGATTGACATAATTTGCATAGTTATCAGATTTGGATACCAAGTTTATCAGATTGCTTTATTGCACCGATAACACCCTCCATTAGATGATAAGAGAACTTATTGCTAGTCTTGACGGGATGGTGTCTTCTTGGGTTTCATACCTTTCAACTTAGTTTTTTTATTCACATAGAGCTGACCTCACACACATGTTAACTTCCACAGCCATACATGTAGGAGTATTTACATTTAATGTTACATGAAACTACGGAATGAATAGACATCAAGAACTGAACATCTCACAAGAACCCATACTGGAGTAAACCAGTTGTAAACAGCAAGGACAGTGTGAATCCCATGATCTCAATTACAACTTACTACAGGTATCTATAGACATGGAACACAAACACATGCAATATGATGGCAGCCATCAAAACCAGAAAGTGTGACGTAGTCAAGGCAACCTATCCTGTGTAGTCACGGTAACACATCAACCTACCCTGTGTGATGATGATACCGCCATTTCCTCCAGTAGTCTCCCTTCATAGCAATGTGCTTCGTGTTGATGACAACAACATGGTCGCCGATGTCACCTAGAGACAGACACATGTTCTCACTAGCTGCTTACACAATGAAACTTGCATATCACTGTAGCATAGAAACACCTGTAAAAGTAAACAGTCTCAGACTTCCACCTATATTTCTTAATAAAAATTCAGTGCTCAAGACCGAGCACAGAATCAACCTCTACAGGTCACAAAAGTGACATAACACAAACACTAGCTAGAACCGGTGCATGTATGGACATCATCAGCTCTCCCGATATCTTCATTATGTTTTTCGGTTCCTCAGAATTACAGTCCCTCCCTGGCAATAATGCCCTTTGTGATACCAGCAAACCAATCCACAACTCATGTTGAACATAACCCAAAGTTATACGTTGACACTCAAAACAAGGGTTCCAACAGATCCCAATAAATAATTCTAAGGGTGTTTAAAGGAAAGTACCCTCAAGTATTCAAGTAATAATCCCTCTGCAACATACGTCTTCTGTGTCCTCTGTTACTATATTTTTGTGTAAGACCCTGATAATCTGAGGTTTTTAGAGAATATTTATTTTGGTCACCATCAATTTTATTTGTTAAAAATTTGGACCGATTTTGATTTCCACTTTTATCATTGTTTACATTTCCTACATGGCTATGTTTCAGGTTCACACTTGCGGACCACATTCTGCATTTAAGGAAATCTGTTATATAGGTCAAGTCTAAACAAAGTTAGACAGTTGTAAGCAAAACAGGAAAGTGTACTGCCACTATACCTACATATTATCACTGTACATCTGTCTAGTCAGGCAAACTCTTTACTTCATCAACTTTCTCACCTAACAATTTGTGAAAAACTACTATACAGCAGTTTTCTCAATTGCAAGAAAGATGAAGGGATATGACAGTTGGAGCACTATGTCAGCGGCCTTATTCACAAAGGATTTTCATAATTTTCTTTAGAAAAGTTTTGACTCATTATGAAACTTAGCGAAAAGCTGCACTAAGGAATGCAGTTATGGCAACTAAGCTAATTCTTACTTTTGGACTAGTGACAACCAGAGTGATCCTTGTGTAATATTTAGAAATTCTGGCACTGTTCAGGTTCATATCATGGCTGCCACACGATGCAAGCAAGCAAATGTGCAAATGCCATGTGTTAACACTTTTTGCTGTCACTCTAAGAATTTGTATAAATATGGCACACAACGAAGCACTTTGAGATCTTACTGAGCGGGTGATATATTGGCTTGTGTTTCCCCTGGAGGTGGGGGACGAGGACCTTGGCTGACTTGAAGGGACACTGGCAGTTGGCATCATATATCCACCATGTGCGAGCAAACGTTGCCCATTGCTGGAAATAAAAGTTTAAAACACATGTTTAACATGTCAGTGTGGAGATAATTATGCTGGCATATTTCTATCAGACAGTGTTTTAATCCATGCAGTTGTCATTGCAATAGAAACACACCTCAAATGAAAATATGCTGTAACCATGGAAATGTATCATTAACGATAACTGTGAATGAGTGTTTGAAAATGTGTTCATAGCATGCAGAATGATCCTGTTTCTTGTTTAGCATTTATCTATAATCATCTTTATAAGAGAAGCTGCAATGCCTTTCGGACAGGATGTCAGTGAAAGCAGTTCATTTAGAACATGCTTCATGTTTAAACAATGCAACTGCTGTGACCCAACAGCCGACCTGTATGTAACAGTATGTTTACAGTATGTTACACCGTCTTGGGTCTTGACAAAACATGGACTGGCACTGGTGTTTGGTGCTGGCGATGTCAGGTGTTTCATCTAGAAACGGTAAAATATATTGCAATGTTCTGTACAGTTTGTCTATAAAAGGAAACACGGTGCCGACAACACCCCGCTATTTTACATACCAATACTCTGTTGTTTGCCATTTACGGATATTATCCCCTATCGTTCACACCATGCTTTGCTAAGGCGAGTTATCAACTTCCGGTGAACTTGGGGAAAGTCATTGGAGTACACTTATCTGTGTGTGAAAATTAACATCGCTCTTATTTTACTTTTTAATAATAGGACGCTGTAAGCTGAAAATTTAATTTAGCGAATGCCGAACATTTGACGCAACTGTTTAGTGTTTTTAGATTAATTGTAAACAAATGAACTGATCACGATAAACATCACTCAGTAGTCGTGGTCAGGCGGAAACAGCACCTTTACAAAATGGCAGTATGTATGTGATGTTAAAACGGCGCGATGTAGTTAGTCTTGAGTCGTGTCTATGATGTTTTGGGGGAATGTTGACACAGATTACATAATAGGTCGTCTGCCTTTTGAAACATTACTAAAGTACTACCTTATTCATAAATGAATACACGATGTCATCTATAAAGTGATCAAATGTAACATGTTATATTTTTATTAAACTTCTCCAGTAAAGTACCGTACAGATTGTACAGTAGTATTTTTTGTTTCTTTTTCTCCTATAATGTTTTTTGGGGGGTGCGGGTGCCTTTTTCCTTTATGTCTTTATCAAACAAGCTTACAAGCAGTTACAAGCCTTTTTTAATATTATTTTTTGTTGCTAAGTGTATGTTGGAGTCAAGCAAAAGAAAGACATTGTTGATTCGATATAGGCTTCCCCAAAAATTTTAATGTTTTTTTATGCAGGCATTTAATTGGAAACGACAGAACACTGAACAATCCATATTAAGATAACCAAAAGACGAAACAGTTACTCTGAGAACAGGCTGAAAAGGCTATGCACTTTGCTGGCTTCATTATATTGACTTAGCCCCTTTGTATCTGCTTGATAGCCTGTTTATACTTCTTGGATGCGCATTTTTGAAGTTGAGGTGGTGAAGAATGATGATAATATTATGGATGTACAACTTGAGGTTTAGTCACAAAAATCAGTGTCGTTTTCACTTAGGCCCTGATTATATTCTCTAAATAATATGCTGGTTAAGCTTAATGCTGTTTTGGCGTTGTGCTGTTATTGTTTAGGCTTCAATATTCAGGGGCAAATAACGCAGATCTATGGGATCGTTGTCGGCAATGGTACCGCAGATATGTACCCCGACGTACGTTTCTGTATACAGAAATGTACCCCAGCCAAAATTAGAATACAGAAACGTACCCTAGTCCACTCCGCGCCGTTTTCTTGATGGGGACTTTCATACTATTGTTTAAGATGCATTCGATTGCATTATATAAGTAACAAGAAGACAAGGTTGTCAGTATCCCCGCTATGGCAAAATACTTTTTATGTCAACTAGTCATGACCATGTCAAATGTTTTCGCATGTATATAGCAGTGAGTGAGTGAGTTTAGTTTTACGCCACACTCAGAAATATTCCAGCTATATGTCAACGGTCTGTAAATAATAGAGCCTGGACCAGACAATCCAGTGATCAACAGCATGAGTATCGACCTACGCAATTGGGAAACGATGTGAACCAAGTCAGCGACTATATAGCGAAGTGGAGGGAGAGTACTGAAATGTTTTCAAGTTCTGCTCCAGAAAGGAGCACTACGACCAAATTCAGTCGAAGTCAAACTTGTTGCCATGGAAACGCAAAAATAGCTCATTCAGAATTCCCAAACTACCAAAGGGCACCAATACACCTCCAGACCTATCTATGTGCCAAGTTTGGTGAAGAAATATTGAACGCCTTTAAAGATCTGCTCCGGAAAAGAGCACCAACACCAATTTCAGTCAAAGTCAAACTTGTTGCCATGGGAATGTAAAAAAAGTATTTTATTAAGAGATACCAAACTACCAAAAGGCACCATTTCACCACCAGGCCTATCTATGTGCCAAGTTTGGTGAAGAATTATAGAACGGTTTTATGTTCTACTCCGGAAAAGACGAATGTGCACGGACGGACGGAGTCCATTTTAATACCCCAATAACAAGCATACACAATGATGCTAATGTCGCGCTGCAGAGTATCACTCGTAATTAGTCTAACAGGAACTATAACATGAACTGGCTTTGGTTTGGGGGTTGAGGAATATGAACCCGTCTGTCGTTTAGGGTACCAGGCATGTTTCTGTATTCTCATTTTGGCTAGGGTACATTGCTGTGTGTACTGACACGTACCTACCTGGGGTACACATACGTAGTACCTATATCGACGACCCCGTCAGCGCAAATAACTGGTGCCGACACATAACGAAGCCTTACCCACGCAGCTCGTCTGTTATGAATCATGCGATAATCTGGTCTAGTTTATATTCGAAGATGGACTGAAGTAATAAGGTTCCGAAATATCCAATGCTGTTTGTATGGTTCTTTGACAACACACTGATGTTTTGTAACCCATGAGACTAGTAGACTAACATTAGCCATATGCGATATGTTCAGCCAGCCCAGCAGACTCGGTCTAGAGCACAATGGACGTGTATTCATGGAAGCTAGTGGCGCCTGTAGCCATGTCATGGTTGTGCTGGAGTTCCCTGATGGTAGCTCCACTTACAAACGCCACCTTCCACAATGGGGTAATCCAAGTAAGCAGCCGAATGTAACTTTCCACAAGCATGTCACCACAGCAAAACAGTTTGAGATAAATGTGTTCAGTGTTTATGAACACTGCCCCAAGTCTCGGTCTACGAGACCAAATTAAATGCCTACACCAATCACTACTGAGTGCATTACTTTACAGAGCCATGTGTTTGGTGTCATAAGACGGCTCACAGAGACACACTCTACTTTCTGTAGGACATTTCAGGCCACTGTTGGACACAAGTTCAGGTTTCAAAGGTCAAGGTTCCATGTACAAGCATGATAGTCTCGCAATCCAGTGCATGTTATGTACAGTATACCATTACAAGCTGTAATGTACCTAACTTATCATACTGCATCTAGACGTATCATCCATGTACCTAACTTATCATACTGCATCTAGACATATCATCCATGTACCTAACTTATCATACTGCATCTAGACATATCATCCATGTACCTAACTTATCATACTGCTCTAGACATATCATCTAGACATATCATCCATGTACCTAACTTATCATACTGCATCTAGACATATCATCCATGTACCTAACTTATCATACTGCATCTAGACATATCATCCATGTACCTAACTTATCATACTGCATCTAGACATATCATCCATGTACCTATCATCTAGACATATCATCCATGTACCTAACTTATCATACTGCATCTAGACATATCATCCATGTACCTAACTTATCATACTGCATCTAGACACATATCATCCATGTACCATGTATCTAACTTATCATACTGCATCTATATATGTTCCATCTAGACATATCATCCATGTACCTAACTTATCATACTGCATCTAGACATATCATCCATGTACCTAACTTATCATACTGCATCTAGACATATCATCCATGTACCTAACTTATCATACTGCATCTAGACATATCATCCATGTACCTAACTTATCATACTGCATCTAGACATATCATCCATGTACCTAACTTATCATACTGCATCTAGACATATCATCCATGTACCTAACTTATCATACTGCATCTAGACATATCATCCATGTACCTAACTTATCATACTGCATCTAGACATATCATCCATGTACATAACTCCATGTACCTAACTTATCACTGCATCTAGATATCATCCATGTACCTTTATCATACTAGCATATCATCCATCATCCATGTACCTAACTTATCATACTGCATCTAGACATATCATCCATGTACCTAACTTATCATACTGCATCTAGACTAGACATATCATCCATGTACCTAACTTATCATACTGCATCTAGACATATCATCCATGTACCTAACTTATCATACTGCATCTAGACATATCATCCATGTACCTAACTTATCATACTGCATCTAGACATATCATCCATGTACCTAACTTATCATACTGCATCTAGACATGTACATTATCATACTGCATCATCCATGTACCTAACTTCATCATACCTGCTTATCATACTGCATCTAGACATGTATCATCCATGTACCTGTAACTTATCATACTGCATCTAGACATATCATCCATGTACCTAACTTATCATACTGCATCTAGACATATCATCCATGTACCTAACTTATCATACTGCATCTAGACATATCATCCATGTACCTAACTTATCATACTGCATCTAGACATATCATCCATGTACCTAACTTATCATACTGCATCTAGACATATCTCCATGTATCTAATCTTATCATACATACTGCATCTAGACATTCCATGTACCTAACTTATCATCCATCTAGACATATCATCCATGTACCTAACTTATCATACTGCATATCTACCATAACATCCATACCTAACTTATCATACTGCATCTAGACATATCATCCATGTACCTAACTTATCATACTGCATCTAGACATATCATCCATGTACCTAACTTATCATACTGCATCTAGACATATCATCCATGTACCATAACTTATCATACTGCATCTAGACATATCATCCATGTACCTAACTTATCATATGTACCTGCATCTAGACATATCATCCATGTACCTAACTTATCATACTGCATCTAGACATATCATCCATGTACCTAACTTATCATACTGCATCTAGACATATCATCCATGTACCTAACTTTATCATACTGCATCTAGACATATCATCCATGTACATCATACTGCATCTGGATACATCTAGACATATCATCCATGTACCTAACTTATCATACTGCATTATATCATCCATAACTTTATCATGCATCTAGACATATCATCCATGTCATACTGCATCTAACTTATCATACTGCATCTAGACATATCATCCATGTACCTAACTTATCATACTGCATCTAGACATATCATCCATGTACCTAACTTATCATACTGCATCTAGACATATCATCCATGTACCTAACTTATCATACTGCATCTAGACATATCATCCATGTACCTAACTTATCATATTGCATCTAGACATATCATCCATGTACCTAACTTATCATACTGCATCTAGACATATCATCCATGTACCTAACTTATCATACTGCATCTAGACGTATCATCCATGTACCTAACTTATCATACTGCATCTAGACATATCATCCATGTACCTAACTTATCATACTGCATCTAGACGTATCATCCATGTACCTAACTTATCATACTGCATCTAGACATATCATCTATGTAACTGACTCACTTTGATGAAACAAATTTATCATCAGTAAAGTTGACAATTACTACCACTGGTGTGTCAGAATGAATGTTTAATGCAGAGAAATCCACATTTTAAACCTGCAACATTGACACTAGACTAACTGTGTTACAACATAACACTATGAACAACATTATCACTAGACTAACTGTGTTACAACATAACACTATGAACAACATTATCACTAGACTAACTGTGTTACAACATATCCCGCTAGATTAACTGTGTTACAACAATATGAACAACATTATCACTAGACTAACTGTGTTACAACATAACAATATGAACAACATTATCACTATCTGTGTTACTAGACTAACAACATAACAATATGAACAACATTATATCACAACATAACAATATGAACAACATTATCACTAACATGTTAACTAACACAACTGTGTTACAACATAACAATATGAACAACATTATCACTAGACTAACTGTGTTACAACATAACACTATGAACAACATTTAACTTCTCAAATCTACGAAACTCTCCATCCTGTACAACAAACACACACTCATAATATTGTCAGAATTGTAGAATCGACTTAGCTTTTAGCTGAGATTTCTTATGGATGTGGAAGGGGTTTGTTTTCTAACAATATTATTGTACAGGTAGACCAACCAGTTTCAGATCAGCACTGAGAAACAGAATGTTTCATATCGTGTGGAGCAGAACCTTTTACGAACATGGTAAGAACTATGGATTTCTCTTCGTTCTGTCCCCACCCACAACAGAATTTGGCAAATGTGGCTGACAAACACGGCGACATCTCTTTATGACCATGTGAAGGCATCCCTAGTAGATGGGATAAACGATGCTGGCATGTCTGTGGTTGTTGTAGTGTAGACCTGTAGGTCAACTGTAGTTGTAAAACTGTCTCTGACCTGACCATGCAGTACCAGGGTGTATTCCTACATCATGTATATATTATATATATCATATATATAGTGTATATAATATACACTGAAGATGTATTTTGTGCTGAAAATAATCCTGTCACTGATTTCTATTTCAAATCTTACAGCGTTCATGTTGGGTAAATCTGACCAAGCTGGTGCTGTATTATAGGTCTCGTAACTAATGTCATATTACAGTCACAGTGAGTGAGTGAGTTTAGTTTTACGCCGCACTCCAGCAATATTCCAGCTATATGGCGGCGGTCTGTAAATAATCGAACCTGGACAAGACAATCCAGTGATCAACTGCATGAGCATCGATCTACGCAGTTGGGATACGGTGACATGTGTCAACCAAGTTAGCGAGCCTGACCACCCGATCCCGTTAATCGCCTCTTACGACAAGTATGGGTTACTGAAGACCAATTCTAACCTTGACCTTCACGGGTCATGTAACACGCATACACACCTGTGTAGTGTGGAGAATACAGTATGAAACACAACAGTAATTTAATGACAAATAGAAGTGGAAATCGCGTGTGATTCTTTCTTACGTAAAGCTTTTATTATACAGAACCCGAACCATACATATTCAATACAGCCAATTCAAGTCTATCATAGCTTGCAAGTCTAGAAGCACAGAATCTTGTGGCTGATTTTCTTAAATTTATAGATACATTGTAAAGACCTTTGTGCCCGTAAAGTAGTTTCACTTCAGACACGAGGCGTTAGTCTAACGTGAAACCTTCAATAGTACGTTGATTTACAGGACGTTCGAACATCAAACAGAATCTCTTGGTGCTTGCTTCATGACGTGTATGTATCTGCATGTATTGGATTCCAACATAGGCACTTGGAGTCACGTTTAACCATTTTAGTGACAGCAGGCGGGTGAGAGATTGTGAGCTAGCGGGCACCTGCTGTCTTCCACTACCGCCAACAACATGCACTGTCTGTGTGCCGCACTATTGCTGTCCGGGATTCTGGGCATATATGCCCCTATCACATTTGATTCAGGTTTGTTGTGTTTTTCCCCATGAAAACAATGAAATAATCAGAAACTCAATTACGGTAAGGCGTTTTAATGTTAAACGTTATGTCCGCAGTCTTCTGTTTGTGACTGCATTTCGTCTGGCGATCTGTTTTGGATGTTAACATGTTGGATGATTTCTGTTGTGTTATAACAGCAGTTAATTAATAAGTATAGACAAAATATTCTTCAAAGTTCATGTCGATATTAATTTTTGTAAAATTATTAATTTCAACTGAATTCACTTGACCTACTGATAAGAAATATGCTTCTGAATTAAGCCACAACCTTGCGCCATAACCTATCGTAGCCTCAGTGAAGGTCACAGAAAGTCTTAAGTATTTTCCGTTCCTGAAATACAAATTCGTACCTAATAATAGTTTTCTCCTCCATTGTATTCTTACAATATTATACTTCAAATGACAAGGTGACATTATAATATTTTTAATAAACCTTTATTGCAAACTTCAACTAAAACTATTGGTTCGAAGTTTCTGTGCAGAGTCGCCTCCCATGCCTTGCCAGTATCCAGTGCTTATTGTACCCTGTCTGTCAGTGGGTAACACCAAGCCATATTGACCGCCGTGTCCCCAAACATAAACCTTTATCCCAGGGGGTAAAGGTGAACTCACTCCATCAGTATCCAGTGCTTATTGTACCCTGTCTGTCAGTGGGTAACACCAAGGCCATGTTGCCCGCCGTGTCCCCAAACATAAACCTTTATCCCAGGGGATATAGGTCAACTCACTCCATTAGAGAACTCACTCACACGGTAGGATTACTGTTGTGACTTACCCCGTGGTTTACTATATACGTCCAGTTCCATGTCTAACTGTGCAGGTGGTATGTTTGAGGGGAAGGGTACGTGTGTGGGGCGCGGCTTCGTATTGGATTGACCATGAGCAGAGTTACATCTCACAGAACACCACAAGTGACAGATATATATAGTATGTGTGATGATGCAATTTGTGATGTTCTGTTTCAGGAACCTGCGCGAACAATGTTGGGCACGAAATGGACTCTGGCACATCGTGGTTCCACAATGGGGAGTGTGCTAAATACGGCTGCTTCGTGAAGAATGACGTCAGGATCAGATACAGGGAAACGTGAGTCGACGAGAGTTATATACACGTGTATACGTTCCCGAAAATATCATACATGTTTATCAGGATAAGATATTGTGGACCGTGAGTCTACGAGATTTGAAATTGTGGAACGTGAGTCTGCGAGAGCGAGCTGTTTATCAGGATGAGATATTGTGGACCGTGAGTCTACGAGATTTGAAATTGTGGAACGTGAGTCTGCGAGACTGAGATATTGTGGAACGTGAGTCTGCGAGAGTGAGATATTGTGGAACGTGAGTCTGCGAGTCGTGAGATATTGTGGAACGTGAGTCTGCGAGAGTGAGATATTGTGAAACGTGAGTCTACGAGACGTGAGATATTATGGAACGTGAGTCTGCGAGAGTGAGAATGTGAACGTGAGTCTGCGATAGTGAGATATTGTGGAACGTGAGTCTACGAGACGTGAGATATTGTGGAACGTGAGTCTGCGAGAGTGAGACTGTGGAAGGTGAGTCTGCGATAGTGAGATATTGTGGAACGTGAGTCTACGAGAGTGAGATATTGTGGAACGTGAACGAGACGTGAGTATTGAGGAACGTGAGATATTATGGAACGTGATCTACGAGACGTGAGACTGAGGAACGTGAGTTTACGAGAGTGATATTGTGGAACGTGAGTCTATGAGACGTGGCACACCCATATATGGATTTGGGTTTTCTTATAAACTCTAACTTGCTTTAAAACAAATCGACATGATTCCACCGGCGTCGTTCCAGCATTGTGTAAGGTTTATTACTGCAACACTGTACCTTCCTTCTGTTCTGTTTAATCGTTCACGTTAATCTGACTCTCTTTTCTGGACGCAAACTGTTTCACACAACCGATGCAGTCGGACTAAGAGTAGACGACATTGCTAAACATGATGCCAAAATATATGCAGATTGTATTACGTTTCGCGAGCCTCCGTATATGTAACTCCCCTCGTCAATGTAGTACAGTGAGATATTACTCCCTTCAATACCCATTCTTTTCACTCCACCCTCCTGCTCCCCCTCCCCTCGTCAATGTAGTACAGTGAGATATTACTCCCTTCAATACCCATTCTTTTCACTCCACCCTCCTGCTCCCCTTCCCCTCGTCAATGTAGTACAGTGAGATATTACTCCCTTCAATACCCATTCTTTTCACTCCACCCTCCTGCTCCCCCTCCCCTCGTCAATGTAGTACAGTGAGATATTACTCCCTTCAATACCCATTCTTTTCACTCCACCCTCCTGCTCCCCCTCCCCTCGTCAATGTAGTACAGTGAGATATTACTCCCTTCAATACCCATTCTTTTCACTCCACCCTCCTGCTCCTCCCCTCCCAATGTAGTACAGTGAGATATTAGTAATACATTCTTTTCCTCCACCCTCCTGCTCCCCTCCCTCGTCAATGTAGTACAGTGAGATATTACCCTTCAATACCCATTCTTTTCACTCCACCCTCCTGCTCCCCCTCCCCTCGTCAATGTAGTACAGTGAGATATTACTCCCTTCAATACCCATTCTTTTCACTCCACCCTCCTGCTCCCCCTCCCCTCGTCAATGTAGTACAGTGAGATATTACTCCCTTCAATACCCATTCTTTTCACTCCACCCTCCTGCTCCCCTCCCTCGTCAATGTAGTACAGTGAGATATTACTCCCTTCAATACCCATTCTTTTCACTCCACCCTCCTGCTCCCCTCCCTCGTCAATGTAGTACAGGTGAGATATTACTCCCTTCAATACCCATTCTTTTCACTCCACCCTCCTGCTCCCCTCCTCGTCAATGTAGTACAGTGAGATATTACTCCCTTCAATACCCATTCTTTTCACTCCACCCTCCTGCTCCCCCTCCCCTCGTCAATGTAGTACAGTGAGATATTACTCCCTTCAATACCCATTCTTTTCACTCCACCCTCCTGCTCCCCTCCCTCGTCAATGTAGTACAGTGAGATATTACTCCCTTCAATACCCATTCTTTTCACTCCACCCTCCTGCTCCCCTCCCTCGTCAATGTAGTACAGTGAGATATTACTCCCTTCAATACCCATTCTTTTCACTCCACCCTCCTGCTCCCCTCCCTCGTCAATGTAGTACAGTGAGATATTACTCCCTTCAATACCCATTCTTTTCACTCCACCCTCCTGCTCCCCTCCCTCGTCAATGTAGTACAGTGAGATATTACTCCCTTCAATACCCATTCTTTTCCTCCACCCTCCTGCTCCCCTCCCTCGTCAATGTAGTACAGTGAGATATTACTCCCTTCAATACCCATTCTTTTCACTCCACCCTCCTGCTCCCTCTCCCTCGTCAATGTAGTACAGTGAGGTATATGTACTCCCCCTCCCTCGTCAATGTAGTACAGTGAGATATTACTCCCTTCAATACCCATTCTTTTCACTCCACCCTCCTGCTCCCCTCCCTCGTCAATGTAGTACAGTGAGATATTACTCCCTTCAATACCCATTCTTTTCACTCCACCCTCCTGCTCCCCCTCCCCTCGACCAGAAACATGATGTATTGCTCGCAGTGTTTGTGACACTCACAAGCTGGTCTACTTAACACATAAGCGGAATCTACCGATGATTACCGGTCGTCAAGCAGCTGCCGTCGTCCATTTTTTTCACACCTGTTGAAATCATGGGCTTGCTCTTCGTCGCCGTCCTCACCTCGTGTGTTATAGGAATATATGCGCCTATAACGTTTCACGAAGGTAGGTTCTCACCCGTCTAGAGACATTATTGGCTGGAGCATTTTCTTCGTAAACTTCATCTGATCACTTTACGATTTTAGTGACCACATGTGTGCAGCATATGATAATGGTGTCACTTCAAGTGGCAATATCTGCTCCTCTTACTTGCCTTCTGTGGGGCTGATACTACGGATAATAGCATATTCATTCCTCAATGGCTTCTGTGACCAGTTTAAGGTTCGAACAAGTAACTTTGACTATCGCTTGCCACTGGGACATATTTATCTCACTGGCCCAAAACATGGCCACATGATGCAACACGTCACTCTACAGCAAGGACAGTACATAGAGACAATATAGTCCTTGTTTCTGCTGCAGTAGATATTTCTCGCCTGCTTGACGATTACGTCTAAGGGAGATCTATTCAACAGTAGCATTCCTAATTTTTATGGGCCTTAAACCGCGTTTCTCATACAACTAAAATATATTTGCTTGTTCAGTTATATTCCATGTTATCATCCACATTTGTTATCAACATCACGTGTACCAGTGTCACATTGTCACCTAGGCAACTGCGTGGACAACAAGGGCCATGAGATGGATTCAGGGACCACGTGGTTCAACAAGAGGAGAGTGTGGCAAGTATGGCTGCTTCGTTAGTGTGCCAACAAAGTATGGCTTCTTCGTTAAAAACGATGAAAGGATTACAGTCATAATCTTCTCTTCCGGGGGACGACGGTAACGTCAAAAAACAGCATGTAGTGACGCAATTATCCAGTCATAATCTACTCTTAAGGACGACTGTAACGTCAAACAACAGCATGTAGTGACGCAATTATCCAGTCATAATCTACTCTTAAGGACGACGGTAACGTCAAACAACAGCATGTGGTGACGCAATTATCCAGTCATAATCTACTCTTAAGGACGACGGTAACGTCAAACAACAGCATGTAGTGACGCAATTATCCAGTCCTAATCTACTCTTAAGGACGACGGTAACGTCAAACAACAGCATGTAGTGACGCAATTATCCAGTCCTAATCTACTCTTAAGGACGACTGTAACGTCAAACGACGTCATGAAGTGACGCACATGTCGACTCATAAGGACGACTGTGGTGTATGTGTCAGTGTACCTATGTGTGTGTGTGTTTTATGCCTGTGTGTGTATGTATGTATGTTTGTTTGAGTGTGTGTTTGTCTTGTGTGTGTGTGTGTGTGTGTGTGTGTGTGTGTGTGTGTGTGTGTGTGTGTGTGTGTGTGTGTGTGTGAGAGTCAAATATATACAAGTGGTAGAATGCAATAGCCACAGTCACATATATTTTCGATACCATCAGTTTGATGCAACTTGTTTTAAAGCCTGCTCTTAATCAAATCCCGTCAGATTGCGTCACGCTGTTTCACGTATATTCACGTTGTGTCATGCTGTTTCACGTATATTCACGTTGTGTCGTGTTGTTTCTACAGATGTCCAGACTACCCGATCCCGAGTTGTCAGTACAACCTGAAGAAGGACCCAACCGGGCCGTTCCCGGAGTGTTGTGACGTTCCATATTGCACAGGTCCTCCTGTAGGAAAATAAACTACCTCTTTTTGCGCCAAAACGCGACATTTCTGTTTCTTCTGGCAGTGCAAGGAAAGGCTCACTGCAAGCTCGGAGTGAGTGAGTGAGTGAAAGAAATAGTTTGACGTATCAGCTCTCTTTGGGATGTCTGATGCCAGCTTAACCACTGAGCACGAATATGGTGCTGGCGCACCTAGAAACATAATCGGGGCGAACTAAACGGGAATTGAACCCATAACCAAAGGTTTCCGATGTGTACAAGGGACGCAACTCTCTACAGCGTGTTGAGGGACTTGACCACCCGAGCGCCCTACTGTCTGGAAACATGCTGACCTTTCTCAAGATTCTTTGTCCGTGTCAGCTGGCTTTAAAGCATGAGGACTATTTTTATGGATATACAACTTCTTTATTCTGTATTTTGTATAGGCGACGTTTCGACAAAGATTCTAATGTCGTTGTCAAGCATCACTTGCTTGACAGCGACATTAGAATCTATTTCGAAACGTCGCCTATACAGAATAAAGAAGTTGTATGTCCATAAAAATAGTCCTCATCCTTCATCTACCCAACTTCTAGAATGCTAATCAAAGAAGTCAGCTGGCTTTGTCGTCAAAAGCGACTGGATTGGTTGGTCACAATGGCTACTGAATATGGCCAAAATGTCTCTGAGATATTCCTAGATCAGTAAAACCATTTCCTTGTTATAACCTAGCTTATGCAGGTGCCATATCAATGTGGGTACCGGTGTAGTGGACGTTCAGTCGGCTCTGGGGGGATAGATCACGATGACGCCATGATGCAAGTTATTTAGGAAATCGTTAAATTTATATTTCAGATTTCTTAGTCGTGTTTAGTGTGCGTCAACCGGCGTGTGTACACAGCAGATGTAGGAGTTATATAGGAGGAGATGACAGAAGTTATTTAGCCACACCCTGAGGCCGGCAACAGTGCAGGGTCTGCATGCACAATATCACGTGGCCAAGCGTTGGTGTTTTATATGCATTGAACACAAGATGATATGACAAAGATCGTGCCAAGGACTGTCGTGACTGAAAGACATCTGGGTTGTATTGCGGGAGCTGAGTGACCTTCTGCCAGAACCACAAGAATTGAAACTTAACTTAACTTCTCCTGCCAAATCCACCTGCATTTAACGCTGCCACATCGCACCAGACCCACTCTGTATCACACATGCCACACTAAATAACATCATATCACAACGCACCACACAATACCCTACACCATATCACACCGCACCGCACCGCACCGCACCGCACCGCACCACCGCACCGCACCGCACCGCACCGCACTGTGCTGAACAATCTTCTTTACACGTAAACACTAAAACTGCCTAACGAGTTAGTAATTGAATCTGCATTTCTTTGTCTCATTTCCAACGAAAGCAGAAAATGCTTTTATGCAGGAGAATGGGGATAAACGTATATCTTTGCGCTACAAGTTACGAACAATTATGCTTTAAGATCACTTTGCGGAACGGAGTACAGAAATTGCTAACCCTGAAACACTCAATAACATTCGTTGACAACTACTTACGGCAGTTGTTCCGTTAAAGGCGTGGACGTTAGTCCTGCTTGTTCTTTGAAAACAGCTTAATATTACAGCCTTCAATTACCATCTGGTGCTGACAACGCAGAGACCTGGCGAAACAGCAGGGCCTCCGTTCACAAAGCACTAAGGTGATCGTAATTCACTAAGGTAACCTAAGTGCAATGTTAAAGAATCGAAGTTGAGGTTAACCTTGGTAAAGATTGCTTCGCGAAAGGAGCCCCAGGACGGGAACAGTTTGTGAAGCCTGGTGATACTGCCCCATGTTACACTGCTGGAGAAACGTCCTGAAACGTCCTGGTATCTCACTCACTGACACAGGGAAACACTCAGTGTCATGTAAAGACTTGCTCCACGCTACAAGATCTCCCACTTTCATTCAGCAGGCCAAATACCATTGTCTAAGGCCTTATGACGACACGGGTGCATAATCCTGTTGTTGCGTTAAACCACTTGAGACACGGATACCTGTCATTGCCTTTGTAGCTTCTTGCTGTACACGCAGTTGCAGGCAGGCCCACATTGATCGCGACACATGACTCCGACACGCAGATAGCAATTAACGTATTAAATTCATACTGAGGCATGAACAGGGTAAGGCGATCCCATGAATGCCGGGTGCCAACTCTTCCCTTCAACGCTACAGGAATAAATTACAGACAACTTATTGAGGATCGTGGCTATTCAACTATTTGCTTTGTTGAATGAATAGAGTAGAGATTTACGTATCAGCCGTCGATCAGAGACTGACGGGTGGTCTTGAGAGTGTTTACTCAACGTATCGACTCCTTATACTTTCCCCTTCCGTTGTGAACGTGTTGAGACGACGGTTGCCGGGAGCGACTTCACAGACTCGGTTGGACGACGAGAGCTACTGTTACAACCAGCACAGAGGTTCAAACCCAGCCTACATAAACAGGACACTTGTAACACATTCTCGGCCACTCGACGGAGACTTTTAAGATCTGGTGAGTACTACGAGAATGAAATATACTCATTAATCATACGGGACCATGTTTAGGCGAGAGTTGACTTGATCGATATCAGATCTGGCGAGGGCAGAGGTAAGTTACTGGTGTGTGGCTTTACACGTCGGGGTTTTCAGTAATTACTGCGGGGTTTATGGTCAGTAATACCCTGGTAATACCCTATACTGGCAGGGTAGGTCCTTGTTTAGCAGTCGGGTGCTCTACCCAAAGAACCGCCCCCGTGTATATGCGGCTGTTCCGCAGCCAGAGGATACATTTATTTCTAAATCGATTGTGTATAGATTTCATTGTTTACATACGCAACATATTCTTGGAACAATCGTAGGAGCTCTGACATCAGCCTGGTAAATGTATTATGTCTCTGAAGAATGCTTGTGGCCTCCCCATTAACCTGGATAATCTGAGGTGAACCGAAGTGAGTATACTTTATACTGCATCTACAGCCACTCTCACCTACATGGAAGGCCCCTTGAGTAATGACGACGTCAAGATCTATATAACTCCACATTGACGACTATAAATGTACTTGTGAACCTTTATCACACGTAATGCCCACTGTCCAACAGGATGGGAACTCATGCTGAATTCATTGCTTCTATTAACATGTCCTGTATTCAATTCATACTAGCCATCTTCTAGTATTTGAACATACCATCCTGTATTCAATTCATACCAGCCATCTTCTAGTATTTGAACATACCATACTGTATTCAATTCATACTAGCCATCTTCTAGTATTTGAACATACCATCCTGTATTCAGTTCATACTAGCCATCTTCTAGTATTTGGACATACCATACTGTATTCAGTTCATACTAGCCATCTTCTAGTATTTGGACATACCATCCTGTATTCAGTTCATACCAGCCATCTTCTAGTATTTGAACATACCATCCTGTAATCAATTCATACTAGCCATCTTCTAGTATTTGAACATACCATCCTGTAATCAATTCATACTAGCCATCTTCTAGTATTTGAACATACCATCCTGTAATCAATTCATACCAGCCATCTTCTAGTACCATTGTATTCACATACTAGCCATCTTCTGTATTTGAACATACCATCCTGTATTCATTCATACTAGCCATCTTCTAGTATTTGGACATACCATCCTGTATTCAATTCATACCTGTATACCATCAGTTCATACCAGCCATCTTCTAGTATTTGGACATACCATCCTGTATTCAGTTCATACCAGCCATCTTCTAGTATTTGGACATACCATCCTGTATTCAGTTCATACCAGCCATCTTCTAGTATTTGGACATACCATCCTGTATTCAGTTCATACCAGCCATCTTCTAGTATTTGGACATACCATCCTGTATTCAGTTCATACCAGCCATCTTCTAGTATTTGAACATACCATCCTGTATTCAATTCATACTAGCCATGTATTTGGACATACCATCCTGTATTCAGTTCATACCAGCCATCTTCTAGTATTTGGACATACCATCCTGTATTCAGTTCATACTGTAGCCATCTACTAGCCATTTGGACATACCATCCTTGTATTCAGTTCATACCAATCTTCTAGTATTTGGACATACCATCCTGTATTCAATTCAGGAAATATTTCCCTCGTAAATGTTCACTAGGGATTTTCACATACCACCTGTAATTCAAACTACATGAATGTTTACAGTCTAGGCTTTGCATCTGTATGTTAACCCTATATTGTGTTCAGTAAAAAGCTCGCCCATTAATATTCTAGCCCTATATTGTGTTCAGTAAAGCTCGCCCATTAATATTCTAGCCCTATATTGTGTTCAGTAAAGCTCGCCCATTAATATTCTAGCCCTATATTGTGTTCAGTAAAGCTCGCCCATTAATATTCTAGCCCTATATTGTGTTCAGTAAAGCTCGCCCATTAATATTCTAGCCCTATATTGTGTTCAGTAAAGTTCGCCCATTAATATTCTAGCCCTATATTGTGTTCAGTAAAGCTCGCCCATTAATATTCTAGCCCTATATTGTGTTCAGTAAAAAGCTCGCCCATTAATATTCTAGCCCTATATTGTGTTCAGTAAAGTTCGCCCATTAATATTCTAGCCCTATATTGTGTTCAGTAAAGTTCGCCCATTAATATTCTAGCCCTATATTGTGTTCAGTAAAGCTCGCCCATTAATATTCTAGCCCTATATTGTGTTCAGTAAAGTTCGACCATTAATATTCTAGCCCTATATTGTGTTCAGTAAAGCTTCGCCCATTAATATTCTAGCCCTATATTGTGTCCAAAAAGCTCGCCCATTAATATTTTAGCCCTATATTGTGTTCAGTAAAGTTCGCCCATTAATATTCTAGCCCTATATTGTGTTCAGTAAAGTTCGCCCATTAATATTCTAGCCCTATATTGTGTTCAGTAAAGCTCGCCCATTAATATTCTAGCCCTATATTGTGTTCAGTAAAGTTCGCCCATTAATATTCTAGCCCTATATTGTGTTCAGTAAAGTTCGCCCATTAATATTCTAGCCCTATATTGTGTTCAGTAAAGCTCGCCCATTAATATTCTAGCCCTATATTGTGTTCAGTAAAGTTCGCCCATTAATATTCTAGCCCTATATTATGTTCATATAAGTTCGCCCATTAATATATTTAGCCCTATATTGTGTTCAGGCACTGAAGGTTGTGTCACTGACTAGTCCATTGAAGGTTTTGTTGCATATCTTTGATGTAAAAATTCTACCCGTGTTGCTGTATGGAGCGGAAGTTTGGGGCTTCCACCCTTCGCCGAATGCTCTTCATGTTCATGAAAATGTACGTAAGCAAATACTTAGGCTCTCTGTTACTACACCGAACATTGTGGCTCGTGGCGAACTTGAGAGATATTCTTTGGATGTTAATAGATATATTAAGATAATTAAATATTGGATCAGATGTACAAGTCAAAGGGCGAATGTAATTTTGTATACTGTATATAAGTACCAGTTTAGTTTAGCTGATAAAACCCCGTGACTGCTGGGCACTAAAAGTTAAAACTTTATTGTTCACTTATGGTTTGGGACAAGCGTGGATGGACCAGCGTGTTGTCAACGCGCAGTAGTTTCTAAATGAATTTAAACAGAGATGTATTGACATTGACGTTCAAAATTGGATTTCAGTCCTTCGTAAATATTCCAAACTTGAGATGTACAGACAAATTAAGGTAAATCTTTCTGAAGAATATTATTTTAGTGTAGTCAGTAAAAGCCTACTGTATTGCACTGTGTAAGTTCCGCTGTTCCAACTATGACCTAATGATAAATACTAGCACCAGTGGTTTAACCAAACAGAATACTTAGTATAGCCAGTCAACGGGTTAACAATATAGGATAAATAACCATCCATCTATATGTTATCCATTTAATGTACTCAGTGTAGCCTGTTGATATATATTTATATATATACCGTATATTAGATTCAGAATCGACCACCTATCCATATCGTATTGGCCTATAGTCGTATGTGCATGTCACCTGTATGTTAACCCACAATGTATTCAAAGTAGACTGTCTGTCTATGTTAATTCAATATTGCCTTTCTATTATATGACAACTGTGTTATCAAACTAGTGTTAGTATTTGTGTCAGATGGCCCATCACCATGGTAACTAGCACAGCTTCCCCGTTTTCATATCTGCATCCGGTTCTTCCTGTCAAGCAACATCCCGCCAGTAGTGTTAAATAATTCACCCTGACACGCCTGAGTGATGGCGGTATTTATAGCACAGGTCGATGCACATATTGGATTAATAGGAAAGCTGCTTTGTACATTTAGAAACAAAACTCGACGTGGATGTTGTGACCCTCGTCATGGACATGATGGCCCCGGTTTGTTGGTAGGTCAATACAATATCTATATTCAACTTCCAGGCAACAGACGGCGCTGAGTGATCCTGCGAGAGATACGAAAGTCGACGACGTCCAGCAGGCCACGTAGAACGCCGTCGCTGCTGCTACCTTCAACGACCATGGACCTCTGCGTTTCTTCTACTATCGACAGATAAATATCCTTTTCTAATACTTCTGATAATTTTACGATTCTGCTGAGGTTCAACAAGGCGAGGCAAGGGAGGGCGTGGAGCAAGGATAGTTCTCTTTCAAACTGCCAAGATGTCAGTGAAAAGTTATCGAATGCGAATTGAGACGGAGGATCCTCTGTATTACGGTTGGAAGAAACTGAAAGTGCGGGGGAAAGACTTGGCTAACATTTCCGATTCAGTGTTCCATCTTATAGAACTGGATGTCCTTGACCTTAGTCCGGAGCGAGAGGCTTGCCTGGACTACAAGCTCCCAGTATGTCCACCCACAATAGGCAGGCTGGTCAACCTGAAGGTCCTTATGCTTGACACAAACGAACTGAAGGAATTGCCCCCAGAGATTGCTCTGCTGCAGCAGCTGGAGAGGGTGGCACTCAGCAACAACCAGCTGTCCTGCCTCCCCAGCAACTTCTGCAATCTGAAGAACCTCCAGAGTCTTCACATGGCCAACAACAGCTTCCGGGAGTTCCCGCTGCAGTTGTGTAAACTGGAGAAGCTGGAGTTCTTGGACGTCAGTGACAACCATATCAGCTCTCTGCCGGAGGAGATCCGCGACATGAAACAACTGGAGTCTCTCCTCCTCTTCATCAACGACCTCACCAAGTTGCCCGACATCATCTGTACTCTCACGCAACTTCGGTGTCTCTGGATCGGCAACAACAGAATCCGACAACTTCCGAGAGACTTTGGTAGGCTGGTGAAATTGGACTGGGGGTTCCGATACACTTCGTCAGCTCTGGATGGGAATCCGCTCATCCACCCTCCTATCGAGATATGCCGAATGGGCCCCGATGCTATAGACCGGTATATGTCGTCACTCTCCGGAAGGAAGTCCCGGAATAACGACACAGACAGGAGTTATTGACCTGCACGCCTGTAATCTACGTGGCATAGTAATCAAGGTGCGTATCCTTAATCATGCGATACTATAACGATGGGATCATTGAAGAGACAGTATCATAGTGTCGCACATAATTTGTCACACAATGAAACTGTTGGTTTGGTTCTGTTTGGATAACGGTAAGTATTCGACAATATTTCTTCTCGGATCCCATGTAGAGCTGAAAACGTAATACGGTGAATCTCCTGTCTCATAGTGTAAATGATTTGAAAGACTGAAATCTGAGAGAACGTGATAATTCAAAACCAAAGCGTGCACTAAAGAGTTCGTGGTAAACACGGTTAAGAGATCTGTACTTGGAAGCCCGAAGCTGGTTATAACATAGACATCCGTCCGAGCAGGACTTCCATGATACAGATATGTAGGAACTTAGTACTAGGATCAATATCTGTCTCCATTGTTGTCAGGGCGAGGGAAAGCGATGTTTTGTTTAGTATTCGTATCAAATTTACATGCGTTGTTGCTAGGGTCAACAGCTTCGTTCTAAGAACTCTGAGAATGTTCTTCTTTACGGTACTATAATCACCGGTGATAAATATCTAATCCCAACCATCCGATGGGACGGTCGTCTTGGGCATCCATTACCCACGGTAGATACTGTCCTTGTACGTCTGTAGGTCGTTGTGAGCAGAGGGCGTGTAGCTCCAATGTGAGCAATCTTCCGTATTGTCGTTTAATCGATATCATCGCTTGAGAGAGATTATATTGATTACTGTACATAGCCCGATTTGAAACGTACAAGTGCACACAGTAAACATGAATGTTTTAATGCTGTCAACACACAGGCACCACAGTCAACACACAGTCAACACTGTCTTTACACAGGCACCATAACATATACACAGTTAACACAGGCAACACACGGGTAACACAGTCAACACACAGTCAACACTGTCTTTACACAGGCACCATAACATATACACAGTTAACACAGGCAACACACGGGTAACACAGGTAACACACAGGCACCACAGGCAATACTGGCTTTACACAGGTAACACACGGGCACCACAGGCAATACTGTCTTTACACAGGTAACACACGGGCACCACAGGCAATTCTGTCTTTACACAGGTAACACACAGGCAAAACTGTCTTCACACAGGTAACACACAGGCACCACAGGCAATACTGTCTTTACACAGGTAACACACAGGCAACAAAGGCAATACTGTCTTTACACAGGTAACATCACATAAACACGGGCAATATAGTCAACACACAGTCAATGCAGGCAACACACGGCCATCACAGGCAACACACAGGCACCACAATCAAGACCCAGGCAACGCAACCAACACACAGGCCACACGGGCAACACAATCAACAAACTGGTAACACTATCAATACACTGGTAACACAATTCAGGCAAGACAGGCAACACTATCAAAACGCTGGCAACAGAATGAAGACACGGGCAACACAATCAAGACAAAGTATCACAGGCAACACAATTAACACACAGGCAACACAGTCAGCACACAGGCAACACACACACAGGCAACACAGTCAGCACACAAGCACACAGGCACACAGGCAACACAGTCAACACAGGCAACACACAGGCAACACACAGGCAACACAGTCAGCACACAGGCAACACAGTCAGCACACAGACAACACACAGGAAGCATATGACACCCACCATAAGGCATGTTGTTCCAGTTACAATGACCAACAATTATTTCTGTTGACACGTCAGACTAATGTTGCCATTCGAAGCCGTATAATACAAGACATGTAAACAGTTTGTATGTAAAAGCGACTGGCTCCTGAAGACTGGTGTTTGTCCGAGCTTGCAGTCAGTAACACCACTCAAGTCTACACCATTACGTGTCCTGATCCTGTTAGGACATTACCTACCGCCATTACAGCATTACCAGTATCAAACGTTCCATTGTCCACGCATTGTAGTGTTTACAGGTACATAGGAGATCAGGTGACTGTGGTGCATTCATTCCGATTAAGTGCTGCATTATCGAAATCGAATGTAGGCAATGAAGCGAAACGGTACTGAAAGCTGGAGACGCTCGCCGAGTGTTCGGCCATGCGTGGCTGTTCTAGAGTAAACAACCAACATACTTGAAGCGTGGTTACTGCTTGTTGGAATCAGGTGCATTGACGCTGTCAAAGAATATCTGCTGCCGATCTGACATTTTCCCTCGTACTATTTTTCTTATTCATTTGGAGCAGTGTTAGTTTGGCAATCCTCCCCATGACACATTTACACTGCTGATAGTTTTGTCGAAATAATTAACGACATGTGGAACTGACCATTGTTGACAATCCATCACCGAGATTTCAGTTACAGTACATGACTATTATTATTTACGACAAGAAGGTTATATTAACACAGGTTGTGTCATGCCAGATTATATTAACACAGCGGTTGTGTTGTACCAGATTATGTTAACACAGGTTGTGTTGTACCAGATTATGTTAACACAGGCTGTAATGTCATACCAGATTATGTTAACACAGACTGTGTCATGCCAGATTATATTAACACAGGTTGTGTCATACCAGATTATATTAACACAGGTTGTGTTGTACCATATTATGTTAACACAGGTTGTGTTGTACCAGATTATGTTAACACAGACTGCGTCATACCAGATTATGTTAACACAGGTTGCGTCATACCAGATTATGTTAAACCGGCTGCTTTGTCATACGAAGATTATGTTAACACTGGATTATATTAAGCCAAGTTGTGTCACATACAATGTTATAACTCAAATGGATGTTTTATACCAGTTTTGTTTTGTTTCAACTAGGCTGTGTTATACCAGATTATTTTAAATGAGACTATGGCATACCAGGTAGTATGCTCGGAGGCAAGAGTTGTTTTGACATACAAGTATTTTCATGTGATAATCATAGCAATCAACTGGACAGGTACGTCCATATATACTGGTAGTGCGTGACCTCACTTCTTATAGTGTGATACAGGGTACTCGCCATTATAGTTTGTGTCATACAGGGTACTCGCCATTATAGTTTGTGTCATACAGGGTACTCGCCATTATAGTTTATGTCATACAGGGTGCGCGCCATTATATTGTATGTCATACAGGGTACTCGCCATTATAGTGTATGTCATACAGGGTACGTGCCATTATAGTTTGTGTCATACAGGGTACTCGCCATTATAGCAGGGTATGCGCCATTATAGTCATACAGGGTACTCGCCATTATAGTGTGTGTCATACAGGGTACGCGCCATTATAGTTTGTGTCATACAGGGTACTCGCCATTATAGTTTGTGTCATACAGGGTACTCGCCATTATAGTGTGTGTCATACAGGGTACTCGCCATTATAGTATAGTTTGTGTCATACAGGGTACGTGCCATTATAGTTTGTGTCATACAGGGTACTCGCCATTATAGTTTGTGTCATACAGGGTACTCGCCATTATAGTGTATGTCATACAGGGTACTCGCCATTATAGTGTATGTCATACAGGGTACTCTTCGCCATTATAGTGTGTCATACAGGGTGCGCATTATAGGTACTCGCCATTATAGTGTATGTCATACAGGGGACTCATACTCGCCATTATAGTTTGTGTCATACAGGGTACTCGCCATTATAGTGTATGTCATACAGGGTACGCGCCATTATAGTTTATGTCATACAGGGTACTCGCCATTATAGTGTATGTCATACAGGGTACTCGCCATTATAGTGTGTCATACAGGGTGTTATAGTGTATGTCATACATACGCCATTATAGGGTACTCGCCATTATAGTGTATGTCATACAGGGTGCGTCGCCATTATAGTAGTATGTCATACAGGGTACTCGCCATTATAGCGTGTGTCATACATCTCGCCATTATAGTTTGTATGTCATACCAGGGTACTTGCCATTATAGCCATTATAGTGTATGTCATACAGGGTACTCGCCATTATAGTGTATGTCATACAGGGTACTCGCCATTATAGTGTATACAGGGTACGCGCCATTATAGTGTATGTCATACAGGGTACCACCATTATAGGTGTGTCATACAGGGTACTCGCCATTATAGTGTATGTCATACAGGGTACGCGCCATTATAGTAGTAGTATGTCATACAGGGTGCGCAGCACCATTATAGTGTATGTCATACAGGGTACGCGCCATTATAGTGTATGTCATACAGGGTACATTATAGCCATTATAGTAGTGTATGTCATACAGGGTACTCGCCATTATAGTGTCATACAGGGTACGCGCCATTATAGTGTATGTCATACAGGGTACGCGCCATTATAGTTTATGTCATACAGTGTACTATTATAGTGTGTGTCATACAGGGTACTCGCCATTATAGCGTGTGTCATACAGGGTACGCGCCATTATAGTGTATGTCATACAGGGTACTCGCCATTATAGTTTATGTCATACAGGGTACTCGCCATTATAGTGTATGTCATACAGGGTACGCGCCATTATAGTGTATGTCATACAGGGTACGCGCCATACAGGGTACTCGCCATTATAGTTTGTGTCATACAGGGTACTCGCCATTATAGTGTATGTCATACAGGGTACGCGCCACTATAGTGTATGTCATACAGGGTACGCGCCACTATAGTGTATGTCATACAGGGTACGCGCCATTATAGTGTATGTCATACAGGGCGCGCGCCACTATAGTGTATTTCATACAGGGTACGCGCCACTATAGTGTATGTCATACAGGGTACTCAACCAGTTTGAGTATTACAGAGGTTTGTGTCTGTCACTGAGTGCAGACTGTAGTAGGGTATAATGCTCAAGTAGGTCGACTCTCCGTCACTCAATATTCTGACTTATGTCTGGAGTGGTATCGGTAGACATTAGTCGGGAAAATGCAACACTTCACATAACGGACGGGGACCACGACACGAGTCTCTTGGTCTTTTTTATGTACTGTTTGAACGTCAGGTGTTACCCTTGGCTCTCGCAAAATGAACACTGTTTACAGCACGATCCTTCCAACTTGGATGATGAGAAGAGAAGAGAACAGG